CTCTTCCGCTATCACTCATGTACATACTCAATTAAACCTAGTCTGCATTTCTTCAAAGGGATCTCTTCTTTTTCTGGTCAATCCATACAACTTAAATACTGCTTTTAAAATACCTTTATAGTTAAAACAAAAATAACAAGTTATAATAACAATAAATGTCAAATAATCATATGCTAAAATGATGGCAAAACAATAAAACTTTTACATCGAAGTACTGTCATACAAGGAAGTTCAATGTACATGAATATATTCACTCCGAAAGTCTTAAATAGGTAATATAAATAATTTGTAAGCGTAAAATCAACAATAATGTCATGTTTTTTTTTCATATTTAGTCTGGTGGATGAAGACAATAAAATAAAACAAATAAATATTATAATCTATGACTATAATGAGATTCCTATTAATTTTAAGTAAACCTTTATATATATTTTTTAAGCAAACAAAGTCTGTGGGATATTCTATTCTTAGTAACTACATTCACAGTTACTGCATGGCCAAGAGCCTGTTCTGAAGAACTAGTGTCATAGAAAAATAGTAACACAATGTTTAATAAATAATTTCAAGTTGAATTAACAATTACAACTACAGATAGCACAAAATGTTTGTATAATTTTAACATTTAAGAGGTGTTGTTTTAAGGTTGTTGGTTTTTGTTATTGTTGGATTTAAATTCAATATTGTATGGTAACTTAGTAGCATTTATCACACCCGTGCCGATTTCGCAACTCCGTAAGTATGGTATTGCACGGCCGAGCATATATTTTGATGTGACGTCATTAGCCTTATACATGTACAAACATAGTGTAAAGATGCGCTAAATGTTAGCGTTATACTATAGGCGCGTCAATGAAAAATGACTCTTATTTCTCTTTAAACGGTCTTTATGTTGGGTATGTGATAAATAGAATATTTAATTTGTATAAGTTCTTTACTGAATTTATTGCACTTGTTGAATAAAATAATATTATGCAACCAGAGGCTTGCTTAATATTATTTTATTCAACTAGTGCAATAAATTCAGTATTGAACTTACACTCATTCAATATCCTCTATTTCTGGTATAGGAGGACCTTAGGTGCAAGCTGTTCAACACTTAAGATGTGAGCTGGTAGACCAACTAATCTTTGATGGGCTAGCTAAATAGCTTCTTAATGTAAAAGAATTCAAAGTGACATTCAGGATTTGGACCCACAATGTTAAGGGCTAAGAAATTTAAAAGAATAAAAACGCAACCAGACACCAAAGATAATGCCCATTATTGGATGTTACATGTATTGAATGCAATTACTTAAGGTTAGTGTAAAAAAGAATAACAGTTTTTGACAAGAAGTTATTAACACAATCAAAATGCAAGGTATACAAACTATATAGAGGTTAATTTTTATAAAAAAATCATACATTATAAAAGTTGTGCATAAAAAATAAAACAAGTATTTGAGACAAATAGTTAACCCTCCATAAATCATTAAAATATGTTAATTTAAACCAGAACACCTGCTTAATTTGTGTAATGGATTTGCCCAGCTTTGAAATTGGAACAATCCATTTAAAAGTTGAGGGGTTTCATTATCAAAATAATACAAAAATATGTAACAGTTCAGAGACTAGTAACACTGCACTGATGCACATGCTGGTCTGGCTCTATTCTGGTGGCAAAGACTAATATGGTTCCGGCAGGTTAATGTTAAAATGAGTCATTGTTCCTATAAACTTTAAAAAAAAATAATATCTAATAGAGCTGCTTATCAAAATACTTTAACTCAATACAAAATATTAAAATAGTATAACAGTTTTCATATGATAACAAAATAAAAAGATCTAAACTAGTACACTTCATGACTTATACTAGAACATTAGTCAAGTTAAACATCAAAAATTAAAATCTTTCTCTCAATATACGCTGAAAGACATTCAACAACATTTTTTAATGCAATACTTTCTTAAAGCAAAGAGTACATTTAAGATTTCATATACCCATATAATTATTACCTTTTTTCAATCCTTATAATTTATTTAACAGTTTATCTTTTTTTTTATATGTATATACACAAAAAATATTACCTAAAGCTGCTGTAAGTAAACAACAGCTCTATACATACTTACATTAAAAGTTGTATTAAGTGTATAAATCAACAGTTTGTAAGATTTACACATCAGAAAGGCACTTTACATATCAAGATAGACTCAGCATGGTTATTTACTACATTACAGTGAGAGACTTTTTGTATAAATATTGTGTTACCTGTAATAATTTAACTGTGTAAGTAACAATACCTTTTAGATTTAGGACCAGATTTGTTTAATTATGTCTAGCTTGAAGTAAAATTAACTTAAACATCTGATCAAATCAAAACTTACAAAAAACTTCATATTTTGATTTATTTCATATACTCTAACCTATGTATAACATAAAACAAAACATACTATATTGATTTACCACTTCTTTCAGCTATTATAGCATAAAATCGGCAATTTTTGCCTCTTTTGCCCATGTTATAACGTGGGCAAAACCATGTGTTAACATAGTCACGCGCTCTTGTTATAGCCCGGTTTCACCTATGCGCAATACATACAGGGCCGAGTAAACAAACAAACAAAAAATGACGATTTCGCCTGTTTGCCGAAGAGTCATGCGCTCTTAATTGTTATATTGAAATTTATTGATTCGAGGGCCTCAGTCGCATATTCAAGTAACTATGCCGGAAAAACGGCGTATAGACATCGGTGCTAATCTTGGTTGTCGCCCTTTCTAAAAAACGGACAGTTGTCAATGTAAACAAATACAGTAGAATCTACCTGTCATTCAGTTTAACACTCCAATTAACTTACAAAACTAGATAACACAAAATTAATATGAGAAAATGTTTTTTATTTATGTTAATGTTGATAAATGCTCTTTATATTTCTTTGAGAGAATAATGCTTAGTGCCTAATCATGCTAATGTTTTTATAAACTTGTTTGCTTGAAAAAAAAAACCGATTCTGATGTCACTGATCTTTTTTTCTACCGTCAATCTGAAATCATTCTAAGAATTTCTGAGGGTCATGTTTTGTCTTGGGTAGAGGGTAGAGTAATGTAACGTTTTTTTTCTTGAGATAATAAATCTCCAAAGGCCAAGCTTTGTTAAATCAATTAATATTCAAAATTTCGTTCGGTTCCGAGAATTTTCCAAGTTGTTGGCCCCGGAAAAATGAAACGCATACGTAAAACATAGAATTGGATAAATACCGTCCAAGCACAAGAATTTAATGTAATTGTGTTTTGTATAAACTATACATCACGAATCTGTTTGAAAATGTTATGCTATAATAGCGTCAACGCACGTTTATTTCGTGTTATAAAGTCTGCAGAGTCCCTCGGAACTGTTGGAGCCCTCGCCCTACCGGGCTCGGGCACCAACCGTTCCTCGGGACTCTGCAGACGTTATAACACGGAAAAACGTGCGTTAACCCTATAAAACAAAACTACAACAAATATGTAACTACATTTAAGAGGCTATAAAAAATTATGATATCTGATCAACAAACACACTCGGCAAAATATATATAGTAAACATATAGTAAAGCAGAGTATACAACGTAAATATAGCTAGAATAGCTTACTCCTGGCTACATAAATATAGTCATTTCTTTACCTGTGATTGACTAAATTGACAAACATCCCGATTATTATATAGGTAAGTTGTTTAAAAGTGAAAACATTTATTATCACAACTTTTTTCTCATCTTTGCTTTTATTTAAATACCCATAAAAATTGAGGGTCATTTACATCTATCATTTCTCAACAAAATCAGCTTTTAAATAGCTCATATATATTTATAACCTGTAAATTAATAAACTCACCTTGAACTATGGTGAATCTTACAAAATTCTAACAAATATGAATATTTTCAATTAATTCTGACATCAATATTAACAATAGAAACATTTGGTGGATAAAATCAAATTTTTATATAAATTATGTATATATAAACAAAATCATTCTTCAGCGAAAATATTAACTTAAAAATAAGTGAGCTATAATGGCCCAGCATTGTTCACAAAAATAACTATTTAGATTTGTTCGTGACATGAGGAACATGGCTCTAATGATTTATTTTATCTTAAATCAAATGGTCCCTATGACAAGAACACAAAAAGTTTATATACAGTTTTATAACACAACATTTATAACGCCGCTTTTCATTGGATAGTTGTGATGTTTAAATAATTTTATATACAAGGCTGCTGTAAATTCATGAAGAAATCTCACTTTTTTCTCACTTTTTTCACTATACAAGAAAGTTTGTAGAATTACAATTTAGTTATAAATATTCCTGACAGGTTATATGACCATATATAAACAGATGTTTGCAATAAAACCCTCGCCAGTAGCATTATAGGGACCATTTAACCTGTCAAAAATCATTATAACTAATATTCATTCTGCCTACTTATCTATGTGAAAACAGTAGCATAAGCCTTAAAAGGTATTTATTATCTTAGCTGCAATAGTTCATAAAAAGACATTCGGTTTAGTCATGGTTATTTTATATTTTCAGCAATTAAAATTACTGGTAATATTGTTTCAGATCCAAAATTTAATATCTTAATTATCAAAAAGGACTATTAAAATATATAACTAAAATAATCCTATTATTTCTAAATTAAATGACATCAAATGTATAATTAATTATATGCTTGCGTATACATGTATAGAATGTATAAGCATCACTGCTAAATATCTCCATAAAAAACCAGTATCAATCTTGGTTTCACAGTTTCAATTTAGCACCTTAACTATAATAACATCTATAGTTTATTCATGCAAGTTCATAGTGAAGTAAAGTTATTTATTTATTTTTATATGCAACTATAATATCATCAAGATCAAGTGAATGACAGATTCCCTTCCAAATGTTACCGGACAGTTATATTTGACATACATCAGTACTATTCTTGTTAAATTTTAATTAGGTTCATCGGTGAAAGTTGCAAATTTGTAAGATACTGAAAATTTTAGTGGGGGGGGGGGGGGGGGGGCCACAGGAACCCCAGTGGGTCCAGGCCAAAGCCCTGGCTGGGTGTCCAGGAAACCGGATTCCCCCAGAAGCTCTTGATATATAACCTAAACTGCGTCACATATAGGCCTATCAATGCGGAAAACTTTCACCCAAGAAAATAGCAATTTCAATATGGCCACCCAACAAATATTTAAATTAATGATATAATGATAACTAAACCTGATCCTATGAATTTAAAGTATATCGAGGGGAGTGGTGGCCCTTTGAGTAAGGTATCTGTCTCTCCAACACTGGTATGGTAGGAATCAACCCTACTTTTGTCATGATTATGTTTCCTCAAATGTCATCAGTAGTGGTAAGACTTCAATATGGTTCAAATACGCTTTTTTCAAAATCAAACTTCTATAAATAGTGTTTAAACTATTATGTGAAATCACAATTTCAATAAATTCTTTTCTGAAGTCTTTAAAGTATCAAACTTATCTACGTAAATCATGTTATTCATCTAACACTTTATTTACTTTATTAGGATCTAATGTCATTTGTTTAAATAAACATAAGATATTTACTAAAAATTGTAATATAATAATGTCATTTGTTTAAATAAACATAAGATATTTAGTAAAAGTTTGTAAACAAAAACCCATAATTTTTCATACCAGGTACATATCCTTCTCATATTTTGATACAGTTATGCATATAGTCTCCAGTGGTCAAATTTTTTCTGTCTGAAAACATAGAAGAATCTTCTCTCCCTCTCACCATCATGATTTACAGTTTTTCGAAATAATTTTTCCATTTCAATCATCTTATCTTCTGTAGTTGACCTTAACCTCACCTCAACATTGACCTATAGTTGAATTTAAGCTCTGTTCAACCTTGACCTTTAGTTAACCTTGAACTTCTTCTCTTCCTTCCAACATGTGATCCAAAGATACAGAGGATGTACAAACGAAAATAAAACCAAACAAAGAAGGAAAATGTTGGCCTGGAAAGAAAACAATAATATTTGTTAACTATTCAATCATAAGCACTGCATTAAATACCATTTCAACATATATGTGAACTTTTTTTTGATGATCAAGTGGGAGATTTTTCTTCAAAAAGAGGGAGATTTTAGAATTTGCAATTAAAAAAGAAGGATGTTCTGGCATCAAAAAGAGGGAGATTTCTTTAATTTGTGAAAAAAAAACCCTTATTTTAAGAAAAATCTTTGAAAATATGACTGCAGAAAGTGGGTGTCTCCTGCTAAAAATGGGAGAGTTCACATGTATGTTTCAATTTCAAAGAAGAAATTTAATACATGTATTCATACTGGAAATAACTGAACTGTGAAGACATCAATCAATTACTGAAATAATATATAACCTAAGAATTTCCTTTTTTATATCATACACATTCTTTTGTTGGGTTTTACATCAAACCAACTCAGTATAAGTCATATGGCAACTTTCCAGCTTTACTGGTGGAGGAAGACCTCAGGTGCCCCTCCGTGCATTATTTCAGGAACGGAAAAGCACCTGAGTAGACTATCACCATTCACAAGCTAGCTTGATAGCTTCCTCTCATGAAAGAATCCAAAGTCATTGTCAGGATTCAATTCCACAGCGATTAGGGCAAAGTGTTTTTGAAGTCAACAACCTTAATCACTCGGCCACTGATGCCCCCCATTGTACACATTCTTTTAGAACATTTTATCATGTACTGTAATATAGATTTTCTAGTAATAGCCATGGTAACCCCTAAAAGATGTTATGTGAGTGATATAACATGAGCTATAACAGTAAAAAAGTCACTAGATAAATAACAAGAGGACCATGTTGGCACTGAGTCGCTCACCAGCAAAAACTGCTTTTCAGTGTTGGAAATTAACCATTGTCAATATTTTCTAATATTAAACTTGAGCATAGAATATGTTTAAACAATAATTTGAAGAAATGTCATGACCTGTGGCATTTAAGCTTTAGCTTAAACAGGGCCAATCAAATTAATATGAGCAAACTTGATAAAAGACTACCTAAGAATGCTACAGACAAAGTTTGGTGACCATCCATCAATTAGTTCTGTAGAAGAAGATGTCTATAGGTTTTCCTATTTTTAGCCCTAGAGACCCCTAAAAGGAGTCAATCAAATTAATATGAGCAAACTTGATAAAAGACTACCCAAGAATGCTACAGACAAAGTTTGGTGATCATCCATCAATTAGTTCTGTAGAAATAGACGTTTAAAGGTATTTCTATCTTTAGTTTTAGAGGCCCCTAAAAGGGGCCAGTCAAATTAATATGAGCAAACTTGATAAAAGACTACCTAAGAATCCTACAGACAAAGTTTGGTGAAAATCCATCAATTAGTTCTGTAGAAGAAGATGTCTAAAGGTTTTTCTATTTTTAGCCCAAGAGACCCCTAAAAGGGGTCAATCAATTAAATATGAGCAAACTTAATAAAAGACTACCAAAGAATGCTACAGATCATCCATCAATTAGTTCTGTAGTAAAAGATGTTTAAAGGTTTTTCTATTTTTAGCTCTGTTGACCCCTAAAAGGGGTCAAATGAAATAACATGAGCAAATTCAAGTGTGACTGTCACAAGGATGCTACAGACCAAATTTAAAGTAAATCTGCACAGCAGTTTCAGAGAAGGCGATTGTTGACCCATGACAATGGATGACGGATGCCAGAGCATCCCCCTTTGATACTTATAGCTCGCCCTGAACCTTCGGTTCTGGTGAGCTTATAAAAATATAATTTAAACTATATCTGAGCAGGAAATTTAAAGATCAACAAGAATGTCGAACGACACATATACCCCCCTTTCTAGCCATTGACTCACATAATTGGTAATTTTATTAAAGAAACTTGCCAAAAATGGGTACATGGAAGTGTTCAATTATGGAAAAATCAACGGAAACCATTTTGACATTTAAGGCCCATGTGACATTGACCTAATGACCCCTAAATCAATAGAGGTCATCTAATACTTATGACCAATAACTAGGTGAAATATGAAGACTTTGTGATGAATACTTTTCAAGATAATCAGCGGAAACCCTTTTGACATTTAAGGCCCCTGTGACCTTGACCTTTGACCTAGTGACCCCTAAATCAATAGGGGTCATCTACTAGTGATGACTAATCACTATGTGAAATATGAAGACTTTGTGATGAATACTTTTCAAGATAATCAGCGGAAACCATTTTCACATTTTAAGGTCTCTGTGACCTTGACCTTTGACCTAGTGGCCCTAAAATCAATAGGGGTCATCTACTAGTGATGACCAATCACTATGTGAAATATGAAAACTTTGTGATACATACTTTTCAAGATAATCAGCGGAAACCATTTTGACATTTAAAGCCCCTGTGACCTTGACCTTTGACCTAGTGACCCCAAAATCAATAGGGGTCATCTACTAGTTATGACCAATCACTGTGTGAAATATGAAGACTTTGTGATACATACTTTTTAAGATAATCAGCGGAAACCATTTTGACATTTAAGGTCCCTGTGACCTTGACCTTTGACCTAGTGACCCCAAAATCAATAGGGGTCATCTACTAGTTATGACTAATCACTATGTGAAATATGAAGACTTTGTGATGAATACTTTTCAAGATAATCAGCGGAAACCCTTTTGACATTTAAAGCCCCTATGACCTTGACCTTTGACCTAGTGACCCCAAAATCAATAGGGGTCATCTACTAGTTATGACCAATCAATATGTGAAATATTAAGACTTTGTGATGAATACTTTTCAAGATAATCCCAAAACCATCTTGACAATTAAGGCCCCTGTGACCTTGACCTTTGATTTAGTGACCCCAAAATCAATAGGGGTCATTTACTAGTTCTGACCAATCACTATGTGAAATATGAAAACTTTGTGATACATACTTTTCAAGATAATCAGCGGAAACAATGTGGTCTACCGACGGACAGACCGACGGACGGACCGACATTAGCAAAACAATATACCCCCTCTTCTTTGAAGGGGGGCATAATGATATAAACTAGAACACCCTCCCCACCCCTGCACCCCACCCCACTCACCCTGAATATATGGTTCTGGTCAGAAAACTTACCCTAGGCTTAACAAGAGCTGTCACAGGAGACAGCGAAGCTCGACTAATAAAATACTGGACGCAGAAAGGAGGACAAAACTATGAAAGAAAAATCAATTATGTATAATTATGTATTAAGTTATAGTAAAAAAATAACATTTGTTAACATTAATTCCAAGGTCAAGGGGACTAATTCTAGAAATAGTCATGCTAGAGTTATGGACCTTGTCACACAACATTTGTGTAATGATAAGAAATATATATTTGAAGTTTGATGTAGATACCTTAAAAAGTAAAGAAGTTATTATATTTCTTAAAGAAAATCCTAAGTTCAAAGAGAGATAAATCTGTAAATATTGCTTCAAGAGTTATGAACATTGTCACATAAAATGTAATTGATGATAAGGAATAAGTATTTGAAGTTTGAAGTAGATACCTTTAAAAATAAAAATGTTATAATAAAAAATAACATTTTTCTAGTAAAAAAATCTAAGTTAATGGGGAGATAATTATTGCAATATTGGTGCTAGAGTTATGAACCTTGTCACATAAGATGTGGATGATGATAACGTAAATATATTTGAAGTATGAAGTTGATCCCTTTAGAAATAAATAAGTAACAGTAAAAAATAATATTTTTTATGGAAAATTATAAGTTCAAAGGGAGATAAATCTGAAAATATTGGTGCTAGAGTTATGAACCTTGTCACATAAGATGGGGATGATGATAACGTAAATATATTTGAAGTATGAGGTTGATCCCTTAAGAAATTAAGAAGAAACAGTAAGAAATAGTATTTTTTGAGGAAAATTCTAAGTTCAAGGGGAGATAAATCTGAAAATATTGGTGCTAGAGTTATGAACCTTGTCACATAAGATGGGGATGATGATAAGGTACATATATTTGAAGTATGAGGTTGATCCCTTAAGAAATAAAGAAGTAACAGTAAAAAATTGTATTTTTTAAGGAAAATTCTAAGTTCAAGGGGAGATAAATCTGAAAATATTGGTGCTAGAGTTATGAACCTTGTCACATAAGATGCGGTTGATGATAAGGAACATATATTTGAAGTTTGAAGTTGATACCTTAAGAAATGACAAAGTTATAGTGAAAAATATTTTACTGCACCAAAACTTTAATCTAAAATCTGGACGCGGACGCGGACGCCGGGGCGAGTAGGACAGCTCTCCATATACTTCGTATAGTCAAGCTAAAAATCAAATATCCTACCCTTAATTAAAACAAATTGTTTATCAATTTGGAAATATAGAAGATTTTACTTACATGCAGTGGAGCCTCGGGATATGCCTCGGCCCATGAGAAGAAAGCATACTGTAGAATGCTGAATATACCTGCACATACTATCATGATTCCATACAACATACCAAAATATTCACTTGGAAATCTAAAACAACAATACATATATTGATACATAATTACTTTTAAAATACTTCTCAAAACAAAAGCAGTAGCATATTTCTTTTGCATAATTAGACTGTTTACGTCTCAGAAAAACAAGAGATTCTCAGACCTGTTAGTACTTGTCTTTTATCTAGACCAGCATTGTCACTTTTTACCTTCCATTGTTACAGCTTAGAACCTTTTACATTTTCATATCAATACTGAAAACATTGTGGCCTTAAAACTTTTCAGAAAGTCAGATAGAGCAATAGGGAGCAAACTGGATTAGGGAGCAAACTGGATTAGTTACAAATATTAAAATAAATTACATGTGACACATTTGTAGTCATGATAGTTATCATTTGTGTTACAATCAATCAATAAATGATGACTAAATGGTCAGTGTATTACATGCATACACTAACTTTGACCTCTCTATGTGACCTCAACTTTGGTAGCAGGGACCTGGATTTTGTGCAAAATACTTAGCTTCACAAGGCTAGTCATGATAATGACTATTTGTGATTCAATCCCACAATAAATGATGACTAAATGGTCCGAATACACATTTTCATATTTTTATCTGACTTTTGACCCCTATGTGTGACCTTGACCTTAGCTGAAGGGACCTAAATTTTGCATGCTACAATCCACCTCACAATGGTGAACATTTGTGCCAAGTTATATTAAAATTTCTCTATGCATGTATAAGTTTTGCTCCAGACAAGCATTTTTCCATGACCTCTTAGTGTGACCTTGACCTTTGATCTAGAGACCTGGTTCATGTGTTTGACACAGCTTCTCATAGTTGTGAACATTTCTATGAAGTTTCATTAGAATCCCTCCATATATGTAGGAGATAAACTCCAGACAAAAATTGGAAGCCACCTATCCAGAAGCCCGCCGCCCGCCAGGGGGAAAACTATAATACAACCTGTTTTTCAAAAGGGCATATAAAAATGAAATACATTTTCTTGTTTTTTGTTTTATTTGGTTTTACACTGCAGGAACACAATTTATGTCATATGGCTCCGAAACAGGGAAGATGAAATGAAATATGTAAACAAACAATTTTCCATGCATTTACAAGTGTAAGAAGCCATATACTTACATAGCACTGAGGAATGCTGCACCTAGACTATACAGGAAGGATCTATATACTGTCATCACTATGAAGGTAAGATAAAGTACCTCAGTTACAGGAATGAGGACAAGTATAGACAACAACACAGATAGACCACTTGCTAGAGCCAATGGTAATACTGCAGGCATGATTTCCCTGTACATCTGAGATTTACCATCTGTAATATAGTAAAACACATTACATATTATACAAACATTTCATATATATGACTAGATGACCAGAGGGCAACAAGTCAAGCCCGCTATCACATCTGACCTTGAGGTATGACTTTAACATTTGATCTAGTTAAAAGGTTCTTGCATGTGACATGCCATCTCATGATGTTGAATATTTGTGCCAAGTTATTTGAAATTTCACCAGCTAGTGATATAGTTATGATGCGGACGAGCTGTTTGAGACCATTTTTTGCATTTGACCTTAAAGTATGACCTTGACCTTTAACATAGCCACATGGTTCTTGCATGCAACACACGATCTCATGATGTTGAATATTTGTGCCAAGTTATTTGAAATTTCACCAGCTAGTGATATAGTTATGATGCGGACGAGCTGTTTGAGACCATTTTTTGCATTTGACCTTAAAGTATGACCTTGACCTTTAACATAGCCACATGGTTCTTGCATGCAACACACGATCTCATGATGTTGAATATTTGTGCCAGGTTATTTGAAATTCCACCAGCTAGTGATAGAGTTATGATGCAGACGAGCTGTTTGAGACCATATTTTGCATTTGACCTTAAAGTATGACCTTGACCTTTAACATAGCCACATGGTTCTTGCGTGCAACACACCATCTCATGATGTTGAATATTTGTGCCAGGTTATTTGCAATTCCACAAGCATAGAATTATGGACAAGCTGTTTGAGACAATTCTTTCTTTTTTTGCATTTAAACTTAAAGTATGACTTTGACTTTTGACCTAGCCCCATGGTTCTTGTGTGCAACACACCCTCTCATTATTGTGATTTTTTTTTAAATTTTGGAATATACGGCCAATAGATAATAATTCACACATATTACCATTAATTTATTATTTAACATTACAACAAATCATTTACTCTAGTTACTTAGAAATTTTCAGTATTAACCACATTGGTTTGAGTTGCCAGCGCACGTCAAATAATTTGCATTTTGTTATGAATAGGCTAAAATTAATAACATATATTTCAATTATCTGATGATGTGTCTGCATGATGTCACGTTGACTTCCTCTGCTGCTATGTTTACATCATCTCAAATAACTTAAGAAACAAACAAGATACTGATAAATGAAAATACCCATACAAAAATAGGAAAGTTAAAATGGCAATGTTCGAAAGAATTTGCGGCGCAGTGAACAGGTCACTCAGGTTTTGTGACTATTTGGAGAAGACTCATGTTACAATTTTCAACAATTAGGAATACCAATCTCCGTCTCCTATTTCCTACAGCTTAAAGCAGGTGCAAAGAGACCGGAAATTCGCATATAGCAAAAATTAATGTATGCCATCCAAACATTCAACAGACATTAACAACCACATGATTTAAGTCTGTTCTTGACGATATATGGGTAAAGCTGCACCATTATTGCCTTGAAAGCCATTGGGAGTATTTGAGAAAGGCGCCTTATATGGATTAAATGCCGTCTTTGATGTTTGACGTGCTCCACGATTCAGATAGATGCCATGGTGTTTATGGCATATTATTGTTGTTTGTTGATATATTTCTATGAAAATTTGTAAAAATGTTTTAATTATATGGGTTTATAACATATTAAAATATCAAATTTGTACCTATTTTATTTAGCTTTGAAACAATCTTGTCACAGAATATTGGGACCACCCATGTATGTATAGTAGAGCTTAACCATTCCACTAAATTACAATAGGTTTTTGAAAGAGTATTCTTAAATGTCTTTCTTTGCCACTAACTTAATTGATTTTTCCATCCTAAAATATCCAGCTATTACATACATGTAATCCCACATCTTTCTTCCCACCAATTGCATAAATAAGTGCATGTATCTTCACATCTCCTTGTCAAATTCAAAAATTCTAAGTCAGGCGAACAGAGACATTGTATAATACAATACCTGTATATAAAATATTAAACTTGAATTCCTACCCTCAGCACTAAACTAATTGAATATACTAGTTTTAACTCTGGAAATGATAATTAATTTATGATCAAACTTTGTTGACATATAGAATTACCTGAAAATACTCTTTTCTGTGAATCATAAACTATTCCAGAGAGAAATGAGGTCAACAGTCCACCCATCATGATATAGAAGCAAATATCTGTGAAATAACTTACTGAAAACAAAACAATACAATACATACTTATTTCTTATTTCATTTCAATGAAAACTGTACATTTTTGAAAACAATTTTTATCTTATATACATTATATCATTACAAACTATATATTGTTTTACTATTTACTATATTTTCAATATTAAACATGGGTACACTTGTAAAATCTGAAGGACTTAAACTAGCTAAAAGATTGTCATTTATAATAAATCAAACTAGAACTATCACTAAATGTGATTAATACCCCCACAAGACTGCTTCGGAAATGAGGATGTTACTAGTAACAGAATACCTTGTAAAAGAATTGAAATATAGAGTTATGGTTGTGGGCAATTAAAGATAGTTGTAGTTCTTGTATGTTGCATTTCCTTTCAATGTGGTTGGCCATTGATAAAGTTTTATTGAGTTATGCTTTAGACAAGGAAAAGTACCAAAGGTCAATAACTCTGTAATTAGTCAAGATGGAGTTATGGTTCTTGTGCACTGCACTTCCTCTCAATGTGCTTGACCATTGTATGAAGTTCTATTGAATTCCAACCATTAGTCTTCAAGTTATGCTCCGGATAAAAAAAGCAATTGAAAAGTAACAAAGGGCAATAACTCTGTAATTAGTCAAGATGGAGTAATGGTTCTTGTGCACTGCATTTCCCCTTAGTGTGCTTGACCATTGTATGCAGTTGTTTTGAATTCCAACCAGTAGTTTTCAAGTCATGCTCTGGACAAGAAAAAGTAACAAAGGGCAGTAACTCTGTAATAAGTCAAGATGGAGTTATGGTTCTTGTGCACTGCACTTCCTCTCAATGTGCTTGACCATTGTTTGAAGTTATACTGAATTCCAACAATTAGTCTTCAAGTTATGGTCCGGACAAAAGAAAGCAATGGAAAAGTAACAAAGGGCAATAACTCTGTAATTACTTTAGATAGAGTTATGGTTCTTGTGCACTGCACTTCCCCTTATTATGTTTGACAATTGTATGAAGATGTTTTGAATTCCAACCAGTAGTTTTCAAGTTATGCCTTGGACAAGGAAAAGTAACAAAGGGCAGCAACTCTGTAATTCGTCAAGATAGAGTTATGGTTCTTGTGCACTGCACTTCCTCTCAATGTGCTTGACCATTGTATGTAGTTATATTGAATTCCAACCATTAGTCTTCAAGTTATGGTCTGGACAAAAGAAAGCAATGGAAAAGTAACAAAGGGCAATAACTCTGTAATTACTTTAGATAGAGTTATGGTTCTTGTGCACTGCACTTCCCCTTATTGTGTTTGACAATTGTATGAAGATGTTTTGAATTCCAACCAGTAGTTTTCAAGTTATCCCCCGGACAAGGAAAAGTAACAAAGGGCAATAACTCTGTAATTAGTCAAGATAGAGTCATGGTTCTTGTGCACTGCACTTCCTCTCAATGTGCTTGACCATTGTTATATTGAATTCCATTAGTCTTCAAGTTATGCTCCGGACAAGGAAAATGCAACGGACATCTGGACCGACCGACCAATCGACCACCGGGTGACTTCTATATACCCCCCCCCCCCCAAACTTCGTTTTTGGGGGTATAACAACTCTGTACTTTATTTCTTCAGGTTTTTGTTCAAACTTTCATACTTTCAAACTTCCATACTAAGAGGAGCAAAAGTCAAAATAACCAACCTTGTTTCTCATCTCCATCTAAGATTCTATTTAAATATGGATTAAGTGTGCCCAAAATGTAATAGAATCTGAGTTGTAGAATACACAGCCAGATGACATGTGTTATAAACTTTGTCTGTTTTAGGCAACTCAATAAACTTGGTAATTCTGTTTTAGCAGCAGTTCCCTCCCCTGTAATAAATTAAACATATAAACATTATATTTTCTTGAAAGAGGTTTGATTCCCTTTTTACAGCATTAAATGACTTAATTATGACTGACAAAGCCACTATGTGTATTTATTAATACAAAATGATACAATCAATATACCAATTACTAAATTATACATGATAAAACAATTAATATTCACATGACCAATATATCTACAAATCACATTTTAGAGATGATACTTTTACTGGCATGTGACTAAAGATTGTTATCTAAGGATAAAAAAGACAATTTCCAACAAAATCTATCGCATACATCATTGAACTAAGGCAAAATCAAAAAAAAAATTCCATAAATGCTAAAACACACAGATTCTGGTCTGGTGAGCAAACAAAGGCACAATACATTTTGAAATCGCTGAATTTTTATTCAAAAATTTCCTTTTTCTTATATCAACGCTATAAACCATTTTAAAGTAGATTATAATAATGTTACAAAGAAAGAGTTTCTATCTAATTAAAGGTTAAAGGAAAAAGATGTAGTAGAAGAAGTAATGTGATAATTTAACATATACATGTACAGTAAAGACAAGCACCTGTTTGATTATTTTGCTTCAGAAGTTCTATCCCAGCTTCACCATCTTCAGGAATCTCTGATTCCATACCTTGCTTTACAACAGGTTTTGATATAAAATCTTTTGGAAGGAAGAAAAATGTGCTGACCAAGAAAAGGGAATGCATTACTGTGATAATAATAAACATGTTCATTCTGCTGAAACCATTCTCATATGCAATCTGAAAAATACAAATTCTAATTTACAATATCTAATTTATGATACTTCTTTATTAACAATTTTGAGTACAGTTCCAAAACCTGGCTTAATATCTCTAAAACAAGAATTGTCAAAGGGACAGCAACTCAACTTTTCTCAGTGCATTTTGTGAGAATGGCATGAAAACGTTTTTTCAGTGTGTTAAGGTTCAACTATTTTTTTTTTCAATATGAGCAAAATTTCTGGAATCACAAAGGAGAATAATTAAGTAAAAATTTCAAGCTAAAGTAATGGGTCTTTTTCAGTGATCTCAAAGTCGTACCCTGACAACATATGTGAGATTTCAAGTGGAAACCTTTCATAGTAAATCAGAAAACAATTATGCATCCAAAACTTTAACCAAGACTTTCACAAATAAATCCAAAATGATGTAGGCAGTGAATTTTCATCTTATATAACACAGGCCTTTCAAAGGCTCTTCCCACTTTTCTTTAAAATCATGCAGTATTCCCAAAAATCTGAACCTACACCAGCTTTTTTGCTTCCCAAATTAGCAATTTTAGCATTAATTTTTCCCAAATTCAAGAGGCTAAGGTCTCTTTCCAATAGAGTGAGAAAAACCACTGGATGTTTTAGGCGGCAGCCAAATTCTTCCAAATATACAACAAGAGCCACCGCCGGGCGGGGGCAACGCTCGACTTTTTACTTTCTCTAAAAGCAAACAAAGAAATGTTTGAACAAATTCTCAACGTTTCCTTTTTATAAAATTAATCATTCTGTCTTGTTACATTAGGTTTGTCTATATATTTTTATATATAAATATACTTATTTATATATATATAAATAGAGACACGCAATTCTATAAATAGAAAATTCTATAAATAGAAACACACAATTCTATAAATAGAAAATTCTATACATAGATACACGTGGTGGGGTCACGGGTGAAGTCACGTGGTGAAGTCACATGGTGGTGTCACGTGGTGGTGTCACGTGGTGAAGTCACAATAAACAACAAGGTCTTGTCCTTAAGTATGTTCTGTTATAATATGAAGTTGATCCCTTCAATAATAGCAAAGTTACAGCCAGTTACAGCCAAAACAAAGTCAAGGTCATTAATGAGTGAAGGTCAAGGTCTGTCGGGTTATTTTTAAGGGTTATCCTTGAAGATTATTATGTTCAAGTTTGAAGACAATCCATTCAAAAATAACAAAGTTACAGCCAATAATAGCCAAAAACATGAAAATTTCAATAATTTGACCTTCAAAGTCAAGGTCATTTATGAGTGAAGGTCAAGGACTGTCGGGTTATTTTTAAGGGTGATCCTTGAAGATTATTATGTTCAAGTTTGAAGACAATCCATTCAAAAATAACAAAGTTACAGCCAATTATAGCCAAAAAAATTAAAATTTCAATAACTTGACCTTCAAAGTCAAGGTCATTTATGAGTGACGGTCAAGGTCTGTTGGGTTATTTTTAAGGGATATCCTTAAAGATTATTATGTTCAAGTTTGAAGACAATCCATTCAAAAATAACAAAGTTACAGCCAATAACAGCATGAACAAGCAAAATTTGGACTTTTAACCTTGAAGGTCAAGGTCATTTATGGATGAAGGTCAAGGTTAGTGTGGTCTACTGAAAGGTCTTGTCCCAAGGGTTGTTGTGGCCAAGTATGAAGACAATACACCAAGAAATAAAAAAGTTATGATCCAGGTACGTTTGCGGACGGGAACGGCAACGGCAACGCCGACCCGACTATAACAATACCTCTACTTTTTTTTTTTCAAAAAAAAAAATTCGAGCTAAAAATTGGATGATATCTGATTTCACTCTAGATCACTACTACTTGGAAACAGTCTATCCTTAAACAACTATGTTCTGCAACAAAACTAAGTTTCAAAGTGCCCCAATTTGATATCTTGTGAAATATTTTTTCTGATTTTTAATTAGCATAAAACATGTATTCATTACAAATACATAATACACAGAAAAAACACTGACCTTGACAATAAGCATGACAGCAGATGACATATCAAACCCACCACACAGTAACCCTACGACTGATGAACTTCCTGCCAAAAATAAATTGGATACCTGAAATACGATTAACTTTTGCATTTTATATTCTGACCTACATACATAATTATGTAAATGCAATAGACAATGTCTAAATCAGCAATATAACTGCTTTAAGACAGAGTTAAAACCATTCTGCTCAATATATTTTCAAATTAAAACATATTATACACAAGGAAAACATTTATTAATCGGTTAAATTGATAGACTATCAATACTAGAGAAATCTAGTCTAGGAGCATGCCCCTATATGGGTAGTTAATCAGAAAAGTCAGTAAAATTTCCAATACCGGACCCTCTGAAACCAGAATCCTCTGAAAACCCAACAATTTTTAACGTCCTGTTTTATTCATAATGATCAATACCGGTAAATGTATATATAAAACCTCTGAAAACCGGAATCCTTTGAAAACCAGACTTCTGGTCGCGTCCAAGTTGGACCAAACAGCTTCCGGTTTTCAGAGTTATTAAGTGAACATTTAGAGACTTTGATTACCTGTGTGTTTGTTACTAAGATAGGAAGACCACCTGTACCCATCAGAGACAGTCCTGGAAACATTAACCATGGATTCTCCTTGCTAATAAATGCCATCATCAAAGTACCAGACACAAACATTGTACTAAAATAAACAAGCTTCAAGTTCATATACATGAAGTTACTTTCATGCTTTACTGGAGAAAGACCTCAGGTAACCCTTTATGCGGGCGTATGTGGCCGAGTGGTTAAGGTCATTGACTTCAAACCACTTGCCCCTCACCTCTGTGGGTTCGAATCCCAACAGGGACTTTGGATTCTTTCATGTGAGGAAGCTATCCAGCTAGCTTACGGAACGTCTGTGGTTTTACTCAGGTACCAGTTCGTGCCTGAAATAATGCAAGGAAGGGCATCTGAGGTCTTCCTCCACCAGTAAAGCTGGAACGTCGCCAAATGACCTATACTGTGTCGGTGTGACGTAAAACCCAATAAAAAAAAATAATAAAAAAAAAAATAACCCTTTATGCATTACTTCAGGTACACACAGGCATTTGAGTAGACCTCCAAACTTTCATTAGCTCACGTGACAGAATCCAAAGTCCATGGTTTGATCCAAAGCAACAGTGGTCACTGGTGAGGGGCAGGTTATTCAACCTTACCATTCCACCTGAAGGCAGCAATTGTTAATTCATCGAGTAACAAAGCTAAAAGATAGAATGCTTGGACCTGCAAGGTGGCCCGATTTCATTCTGGTTGCATGTAATTTTCAAAACTTATACTAACCAAGTTATATGTAATTGCCTGCAAAATAAATCAATTTCCATCCTGCAATGATTTTATTCAATAATGCACAGTGTTGGTAAAAAATAACTGTTTTAAATTCAAATGTTTATAAATAGTCTTAAGACATCCATGTCAATATGTTTAATAAAATTTAGTCAACAAATACCAGACAGTCTCTATCATGATATGAGAGCCACATGTTATAACATTCCATTATGTATAAATAAATTCTATCAAAACTTAAAACTAACAGCTAGATTGTACAAAATGTTATGTTTTTTCTCTCCTTTTTTCTGCAACATACTTAAAATAATTACCCATTCTAATATTATTGTGTTATTAAAAAGTGATCTAAGACATGCACATCTTCAGCAATCCTTAACAATATTATACATTTTTGGATAAAGCATAAGGTTCTACTTACAAGGAAATTAATCTTGTTACTCTAGTTCCAAACCGGAAATGGATATAACCCAAGACAGCACAACCAATACAGAACATGGCAGATCCAACAGTAAAACATAGCGCCATTTTACTGTCCTGAGGTTTACACGGTTGCTTCTTGGCAGAGACTTCAGACATATTTGATGACGTTGTTGTAGCATTTAACATCACCACATTCACTACTGATGATTCACTATTATTCACAGAATAAGTTAGGAAAGAACTATTGACTGTATCTTCACATAAGTCAGCGTATATACCTTCAGATTTCAGTACAAAGTTTATAGAAGCCCATCCATATAAAAGTCCAGCAAAGAACAAACATTCCATGAATGCCCATCCGGCAACCAGCCATTTCTTCCAGCCTATATCACCTTTACTTGTATCAGCTAAAACCATGGTGATATTCTTGTTGTACTCACTAAACAGAAGTACAAGTATCTTATGTTTAAAACTGTCAAGTCATTAATCTTGTTATCCTTGATCTATACCTAAATATTCATCCCTTGTAATTCATATCATTGAAACCATATCTGAAAGTAGAAAAAATATGCTAAATGATACTAAAATTGTAATATAAATCTTGATAATAAGTTTCTTGTCCTAAAGACATGAATAACAATTTAAATAACAAAATATATGTCTAACTATTAAACCATGATAAAAAGAGACAAATGAAACAAATTAAAAGTACAATGTCCTGTTTTAGCAGGAAATAATGTGCATAGTGTAGTAAACAATGCAGGTTTTATTTTTATATCTAAACCATCATGAAACTTCCAAACCTTATTATATACAAAACAGGGACAAATAAATTCATACACTATATATATATATATATTTTATATATACACTTTTATATATATATATGAAATTTCACATGTTAATCAATTGTTATGTTGTTGTTTAGTTGTTTTTTTTAACTAAAGATACATGCCCTGAGATGAGCAAAAAACATTTTTCAACAAAAACAATTTTGAAAAAAGGTTCCAAGACCTTTTCAAAAGTAAAAATACTCACAATTCTAGTAATGATTTACATGTTATATGCAAAATGACTGATGTTTTGCAGTATTTTTCACCATATTTCTACTGCGTGACTAATGCAGTTAGGGTTATTTTTACATAGTTTGACCTTTATTTGGTAATTTATGTGGATTTTAAGTGCCATTTACAATGTGTAAAGTACTTCCTTTTTGTTCACTTGACAATATTTTAATTTTAAATAGATTTTCAAAATTTTCATTAAAATAAGCATGCAGCTTTAAACTTGAAATAAAAAAACAATATAATATAATTTACACAAACCTAAAAAAAAAATTAAAATCCTACTAAAGTTTAAAGTAAAGTCCAGTATTCAGCACAGATTTAGCTACACTGTGAAGTGTTAAACATTTTTTGATGTACTTAGTTAAATGTCAAGCTGAGTGATGACAACAATTTAGTATGAAAAACAAAATCCCAGTACTTGCACATTCATTTGCAAAAACACTTTTACCAGCTAAAAACACTTTCACAGGTAAAAACACATCAACAGGTAAAAATTATTTAACTGAAAAGAAGCAGACGTCATTATAGTGATGTCCAGCTGTGCAAATTTGTTGAGGTGGTCATTCAATTTTTTGAAAATATACATGTATCTTTTATACAAAACTAATATAGTTTTAGCATGAACTCTGAAAAATGATATACAGCGCTGTGTAATAATAGATTTATGTCACTTCAAGCATTATAAAGGTCTTATTGATAATGTTCATTGATGCAAACCACTTTTCTTTATTAAATTATCTTCTATAATTGGAGATGATGTGAAATATTTTTCTATCTTATGTGTATACACAACTTATTTATCTTTACATTACTGTATCTGTACAAGGCCAAAAACATTTACAGCTTTGAAAAAAACTAGGGTTGCTAGATACAAAAACACTTTCCTTTTAAACAAAGACAATATGACATTGTATTAGTGAGTTAATGATATTGAAATTTTGGTAACATAAATGTGTGCCTTTAAAATGTATAATCACTCTGTTATTTTGAAAATAAAACTGTTTTTATTTAATCTGCTATTGACTGTTTCGGGTGTTTTTTGCTGTTGTTTTGTTTTATTTGTTTGTTTTTTTGGGGTTTTTTTGTGAACCCACACCCTTATGTGCAGTTTCTCATATTATTGTAAATGAATACATGTATAACTACACTGCAGGATGGAGATAATTGTACATGTATATACTTGAACACAGTAATTACATAGTATAATCTCCTTTTCGTAAATACCTAAAATAGAATTCCTTTAATATTTCTGCAAAAGTTCTAATTCCAATCCATCAGTTCAAAAGATAAAGAGCTGGACACAAATTTTTTTTAATGCATATAAATATATAATGACTATGTGTGACCTTGAAATTGATCTGAGAAGGCATGTGCTCTAAATTATATAGTCTAATTATGGTGAACATTTCAACTGGAAAGTTTCGGTTTTCTTCAATTCCATTCAAAAGATACAGAGCAGGTACAAAATTGTTAATAGACGGATGGATGGCATGTAAAATGGGGACTTGGATAGATAAGCAAATATTGGGAGATGTCCTTAGGTACATCGGTTCTTCATATTGCCACTAATTTGTAATAATGAAAAAACCTACTTTCATTGACGTGAATCTATTGGTATAAAGTGTTGCATCTTTATAAATTTACACATGTTTGTCTAAAAAAGTTTGTCAATGATCAAAGACAATACCATTCAGGTCAATCAGCTAAGTTTATAGGTGGCACTATGTAACCATATTACCATATGTTTGGGTGATGTATGTTTGTTTGTTTTTGTTTGTTTTGGGTTTTATGTCACATCGACACAGTACAGGTCATATCGTGACGTTCCAGCTTCACGGTGATAGGGCGTTTACCACAACTTTTCCGCACAACGTCAAAATATCATACTTCTGACCGTGACACCGTATATTTCTGGACAAAATATTAATGGCGGGATAACCAAATTGCAGGTAATAGCTTACAAAACATCTTACTGCTGGACATTGCAAAATTATTCCAATTGTTTAAGTACTCCATCGAATTTTTGAAACAATTTATCGTTAATCTAGCACAATACAATTCACAAAAAAATTACATACTTCGAAGAAATAGTGTTTACAAAAGATCGTGTCTCCCTCAACATGACTCGTACTTGTCACAAAAACATGTGTTAAAACGACGATGTATTTGTTCTATGACCTTACGAGCTCATGTATACATTATGGTTAGGCATGAATTCAAGTTCCATACAAAATTGTGTGTTTCTATTGTAAATTTTAGGGAATATATGTTGAAAAAAGGCCTATTGACTCGAATATTGGAGCACCGTACAACACTGAATTCAAACACCGCATTCTTTTTCCGTTTGACCGATATATACTGGAACCGTTTTCATTTGCACCATACTTTATAAGTAACTGTTAATTGACCTGCTGTTATGTTATGTTGCTGTTATAATCATATGTTATTTTATGGAAAACTTCTGAAGGTCTGGTCTATGTAAATAATACCAGTTACTAGGTAAGTGCAATGGTATCTATATAGATATTTTTCGAACTTATTCATACAGATAAACTAGATAAAATTGTTTCCATGTAGAAAAAATCTTACAATACATCTCCATGGTCGTTACTGGACATCATGAGTTTCGGATAACCAATCAGAAAAAAAACATAATAAAATCACTTTACTGTGATGCAAGAGATAAAGCAAAGTGAATAAATTAAAAAATTCAAGTGAAAAATATGATTCAGTTTAATAGTATATACATGTACAAGGTGGTGAACAGATGCAAACTTTGTGGTTCAGTGCACGATTAAAAAACACTGAAATCCAATTCATATCGAGTTTTCATAAAAACAAACTTTTAAAACACTCAGTAGAATTCATTTTATAATTTGCATCAACAATTAAATTCAAAAACATTCCTATAACCGATTTAATGTCAACCGATGGAACCTACAAAATAATTTTGGCAACATGCACGGCGGAATCATCTGAATCAGTTGGGAAATGATTATTGAAAGAAACACTTTCCACAACACAATGCTTGGTAACCTCATCGAAGAATGATCTTTCCATGTGGGGTTTATCCGTTTGAATAAGTTCGAAAAAATAAAAGATATCGACTTACTTATCTATATAGATACCATTGCACTTATCTAACTAGAATTATTTACATATACCAGACCTTCAGAAGTTTTCCATAAAATAACATATGATAACAGCAACATAACATAACAACAGGTCAATTAACAGTTACTTATAAAGTATGTTGCAAATGAAAACGGTTCCAGTATATATCGGTCAAAATTTTTTGTGAATTGTGTTGTGCTAGATTAACGATAAATTGTTTCAAAAATTTGATGGAGTACTTAAACAATTGGAATAATTTTGCAACGTCCTGCAGTAAGATATTTTGTAAGCTATTACCTGCAATTTGGTTATCCCGCCATTAATATTTTGTCCAGAAATATACGGTGTCACAGTCAGAAGTATGATATTTTGATGTTGCGCGGAAAAGTTGTGGTAAACGCCCTATCACGGTGAGTTTTACTGGTGGAAGAAGACCTCGGGTGCCCTTCCGTGCATTATTTCAGGCACAAACGGGCACCTGAGTAGAACCACCGACGTTCCGTAAGCTAGCTGGATAGCTTCCTCACATGAAAAGAATCCAAAGTCCCTGTCGGGATTCGAACCCACAGCGGTGAGGGGCAAGTGATTTGAAGGCAACGGCCTTAACAACTAGGCCACGGACGCCCCGGGTGATGTATGTAGAGCAATTATGTGCCAGGAGGTTATGTTCTTTTTTTATCAACCATTGATATGTTTCTTATGTTATTTACTAACGTTTTCATAAACGACAATCTATTATGTTTTTTAATATACATGTATTGAAATAGACAAAAACAAGAGCTGTCAGTTGGGCAGCATACTCAACTTTTTGAGTTTAGAGTAAAACAACAGCCTTGATAATGAAGCTATAAACAAACCTAAAGGGCCAAGATAGACCTGGATTGCTCACCTGTGACAGATTGCAAGAAAAGGTATAAAAAAATACCCAATGTATAAAACAGTAATGAGGTCACATTTGGTTTGCTGTTTTTTACCCAAGCTGTATAAGGTAATTTTAAAAATATTTGTAACAAGAGGGCCATGATGGCCCTGAATTCGCTCACCTGAAATAAAAGCTCTACATGACAAGGAACAAGTAATATTGTAAAAGATATGAAATCTTAATTCTAAACTGATATCACAAAGTCCATATTTATATCTGAAATAGTGCATGTGTAAAAGCATTATGCATTGGATGCTATTGCTAAGGGAAAACAACAGTTCCAAAAGATGTGTACTTATGTCACGGGTTGATTAATGAACAATTACTATAACAAATAAATCGACCCTTGACACTTATAAGGAAAATCAATGACCCTAGGGGATGGGGCAATTATTGACCGTTGAACAAACTTGGTAAACATTCACTAAAATATGTTTCCTGCTAAATATCTGAGACTTAAGCTCTAGATCTTTGGGGTTTTTACAAGAAGATTTTTAAGTTTTTACAATATACATATAACGAAAATCAATTTTGCCCCCAGGCCTTTTATTTGAACAAACTTGGTAGATACCCATAAGAAGCTTTTTCATGCTTAATATCTTATGACTAGCTCTTTGGGTTTATTAAAATCAGATTTTTTAAGTTTTTACTATATACATGTATTAAAAGAAAATCAATGCCCCCCCCCCCCCCCCCAGCAGGACCAGTTTTGGCCCCAGGGCAGAAGATGTTTCATGCCACATATTTAAACTCTGGTTATTTGGGTTTTTGTAAGAATATTTTTTAAGTTTTTACTATATTTTATATAAGGAAAGTGCATGACCCCCCTGGGGGGGGGGGGGGCAGGGCAAATTTTGACTACAGGGCTGTTATTTGAACAAACTTGGTAGACACCCATTAGAAGATGTTTGTTTCATCATGCTTATTGTGAACATTTGTGCTAAGTATTTTCCAAACCCCTTCATGGACACGACATATACCCTCAAATAAACAATGTTGACCTTTAAACACCAAGTATGACTTTGAACTTGGAGGTAGGGGTCCGGTTGTTGCGTATGACACATCGTCTTAACAAACATTTGTGCCAAGTTATTTCAAATTCATTTGATAAATGACACAGTTACAGACCGGACACAAAAATGTGATAGACAGACAGGTAAATAGACAGACGGAGCCTATTTCCACAGGAACTTGACATTTAATCAATAGATCACAAAATATACGTTTTTTAGTGATATAGCCCTTATCTATACATAAAAAACACGTTTTTTATATAGAGATAAGGGCTATATCACTAATATACGTATATTTTGTGATCTATTGATTAAATGTCAAGTTCCTGTGCTATTTCTATATTCCCCTTTTTTCTTCGAAAAGGCGGAGGACAATTATAGGACCCTGGGGACAGTTGAGTTATTTTGAAACATGGGGCAAGATTTATATCAGTTTTGTAAATGCAAAATGTTTTTACTCTTGGCATTGGGATTTTTAGAGAAGGATATTTTAAAAATATTTTGAAAATACAAGTAAACTAAGTGACCCCCAATCTTTGGCTATTTTGACCCTACCGCTTGAATTTTGTCAAGGTGCATTTGGCAATGCTACATGAGTCTAGTACTAGTCCCCTAGTACACAAAGGTGGCTTGAAAGGCAGGCCCTTTGCTAAGTTGGCAACAATTACCAACCTTTAACAGGGCTACCTTATAGTCTCAATTTTTCGACGGCAAGACAGACCGATTTTATAATCTGATATTTCATAGATGTCTGTCTTTGGGCGACCATCGTATATATAAAAAAAGCCCTAAAGCGCACAATTTGTTGGGCTAGGCTACCTTACATCCATAAATATTGTCATTAATCATTTTCCATTTGCTTCAGTCCATTTTAAAGTGTTGCTCGATACGTGTCACAAAAAAAATATTAGATCTAATTATAAGTTTGCTACCATGTAATGTAAATTTGCAACGATAGGCTAATTCATTTCATAAACAATTATGCAGCCCATTCACGTGGTTTACAATAAATAGAAATGTGTCGCGAAATCTAATGATAAATATGAAAAAGACATTTTTCAACGTGTCCGTCAAAACTTTAAATGAATGCAATAGAACTGCTTATAAAACCTTCTTTTATCAACAAATAGCAAAATATGTTTTTATATCTACCACTAGTTTCTGCTTTTGTTTTTTTCGGTGAGATAAAGGTCAAGGCTAGCAGTATAGAAGGATAAAAGCCGTACTGTATATGGCACTGTTGAAAGCGAGTATTATACATTAATCTATTGTGCAACGAACTCTTACAGCATCCTAATTAATATTCTTAACCAGCCAATACAAGATAATAACTACAGTGTTATCGTAAATTTGTACAGACTGAATAGTCCATTAGAGCTTGTACGGTTTTGTGACGGTTGAATCCGATGATAACCTCCCCTGAAATGAGTCATTACAGGTACTCACCAGATGTCGCATTACCCAGGAGGTGTACACAAAAATTGAAAATAATATTTATTGAAAATATTTGCCATCAGAAATGGAAATCCGTATAATCGTCCAGTATTTCTCAGCAATTTTGATCTTGTCTAAAACAGGTACCTGAACTTGAATGAAATAACATTTAAAGTTAATTACAATTACCTGTAATTACAGGTATGATGTGAAAAGAAGATGGGTGGGGAACTAAAAACAATACGGAAATGCTGTTTTTGTAAAATAAATGCCCTCTAATGTCACTACAGATATTAAATAGGAGACAAGGGATGGATTTTTAACTAACATAGCTTTACATTTTGCCACTTAAATTCATAATTTATCTATCTATCTCTCTTCCATAATTTAACACCTTTTCAGAGCAGTATGAGCCAGCTCTAGGATTTCATGATAAAGTTTGATAAGTTTGATAAGTTTATTTTCAATATTCCATAAGGCTATATAGCCCATGAGGATATACAATGCATTTTAATATGGCAAGACAGTATATAGCATAAATGTACAAAACAATTTAAACAGCGGAGAAGGTTTACAAATAATTAAATGTCTTCCTAATTAGTATGACATCAGATATTCTTACCAAATTCCACTTGGGTATAACTTTAATTTTACTATGAGAATTTTTTCAGATATTTTATAACAAGATATCTACGGTTATTTCAATCGAAAATTATATCATACTGTACCGCATAAAATGTTAATTTCGAGGAAAATGTAACATATACCCATGTGAAATTTCACATTGCACAAAATGAAAATCGAAACTCTATTCTATAAGCACATTTAGTCTAAATTATATAAGCATTTGATAATAACATGCAATATATAGTATAACAAACTCACCCCATTACATGAAAAAATAACTACTATGAATACACGCAACTGCACCTATACTATATACTTAACTCTCAAAAGATATTTCATCAAAAATAAGTGAGGGATTCTTGTCAATAATAATATCTTGATCTTGTCGAAACGAAACACAAGATCAACATATTACTTTTACATTCACACGAAATAAAAGTTTGTTTACACATTTGATATCAATCCAGGTACAAGTAAGATACAGTACCTAACTTGTATGATAAAGTTGACCTTGTCAATATTAAAAACACAAAGTCAACTTATGTAATTTATATCACTTTAGTGTATCTTGAATACATTAATACTTTATCAATTTTACCTGTTTTACATATCAAGAAAACATACACAAATCAAGAAACATACACATATCAAGAAACATACACATATCAAGAAACATACACAATATCTGTATACTAACTATAAATAACTATAAATCTATATAACTATTTAACTCTGCTTACGAACTATATATAATTTCTCTCCTAATCTGAAAAGCTCTAGATACAAAATTTGCAAGTTTTCGAGTTAATTTTTCTTTATCTGTATTTAACAATTCCAATAATTTTTGCATATTCGGGCGTCTCCAATAATAGGACGGGATAAAACGTTGTCTCAATTCAGCATATACATTACATTCTAATATAAAATGAAATTCATCTTCTAAAATACCACATGCATAACAGATTCTTTCATTTATAGGTGTACTATTTGGTTTCGTCCATCTACCAGTTTCAATATGTAATCTATGTGAGGACACCCTCAGACGTGCTAGTTCGCAATAATATTTTTTAACATTAACTAAACTGAGGTATGGTTGCAATTTAAAACATGATATTTGTCTGTAAAATAGTGCTCTACTGGAATCCTGTAAACGACTTGACCAGTTTTGAACAAAATGATCTCTTAATCTTTGTTTTACCACAAATAAAAACATATCAATATTTCCAACACTTTGCATAAGCCAGGCGTCATGGAACCCTAAAGAACACAAAAGAGACTTAACTAAGGAGCACCAATTTGCTTTATTAGGATGGTTTTCGAAATCAGTTTTCAATAGATTATACACTTTATATACATATTTGTTACTTTTTGTATGAATAATTTTTATCCAATATTTCAAAACATTATAATGTCGAAGTACTTGAAAGGAAACTCTACCAAGCTCACCATAAACAAAATCGTTTTGAGTGCTTTTTTTCACACCTAAAATACTTTTGCAAAATTGCATATGCACTCTTTCTATATTGTTACCTGTAACAAAACCCCAAACTTCGCTACCATAATTCAAAATAGGACTAATCAGTTTATCAAATAACTCAAGTCTATGCACAACAGTAATATTAATAAATCTATACAGATATTTATTCATCTGGAAAATAGCTTTCATCGCTTGACCTGCAATAGTTTTTTGTGCTTCTGCAAAAGACCCTCCGGTCGTGAAAACTATACCTAAATATGTAAACTTACTGACAATTTCAATAATAGAACCTTTATACATGAAATTGCAATTTTCAGGTACTCTTCCACCTCTTCTAAAGATCATTACCTTAGTTTTAGTAGGGTTTACATTTAGTTTCCACCTATCGCAGTAGGCTGAAATAATATTTAGACTTGTTTGTAACTCATCTTTGGTATTAGCAAACACTACAATATCATCAGCATATAAAATTAAAAATACTTTAAACATATTAACATCTATTCCAGGAACATCACTATTGATAAAACTGTCTTCTAAATCATTTAAAAACATGGAAAAAAGAAAGGGAGATAAACACTCTCCCTGACGGACGCCTAGTGAACATACATACTCATCACTTAGTTCATTACAAAACTTTACTCTTGCTTTTACTGACGAATACATTGAACGTATGATATTTAAAATGTGACCACGTATGCCAAGCTTAATCATCTTAAACCACAGGTTATCTCTAACAATGTAATCAAAAGCTTTAGTAAAATCGATAAACGCACAGTAAAGTTGTCTCCCATTATTAATCATGTGACTTATTAAACCATGTAGCACAAAAATATTATCTACAGTACCCATATGCGATCTAAAACCTGCTTGGGCCTCAATATAAACACTGTATTCTTCTGCCCAGTTTGACAGTCTATTATTTAATATTCGGGTAAACAATTTTCCAAGAACGTTTAACAAAGTGATACCTCTGAAATTATTGACATCATTTAAACTACCTTTTTTGTGTAAAGGAATAACGAAACCTTCTGACCAACTTTCAGGAAAATATCCAGTCTGAAAAATTTTGTTAAATAATATAAGTAATGAAGGCATTAGCATTTGTCTACCATGTATAAAAAATTCATTTAAAAAGGCATCCGGGCCACCGCTTTTACCAGATTTTAACTGTTTAATAGCTTTTGTTATCTCCAAATCACTTATTTGTACATTTAATTCATCAAACAAAACGTTAAATTCCTCTCTTTCATATCTTTCAATAAAATATATAACATCTTCATCTGGTGTATAAAATGGATCGTCTGGGTTATTCACAGACTTAAAATATTGAGCAAAAGTGTCTAATTGTACATTTGACTGCTTAACACCAGCAGTCCCTTTTAACATATTCCAATAGAGTTTTGCATTATTAAATTTAGCTTGTGTAAGTTTCAAAGACTCAGCTTTGTCAAAATCATATCTACATTTCCTAATACATGTTTTATATTGTGACCTGGCATTAACTAAACTAATTCTATTTTCTTCGCTTTTATTTAATCTAAATCTATTCAACATTCTATTAAAAATAATTCTCTTTTCATGACAATCTTCAGTGAACCAAGGCTGATCCGAATATACTGCATTATCTTTATTATTAACACCGATATTTCTCTTAAACAAAGGGGACGCAACTTCGTCCAAGATATTTGAAAAACTATCTACACATTCATTTATATCATGCATATCCACAGCAGAATTTATTTGCACGTTTAAACAATTAAATTTCTGTCTAGATCTTTCTGACAACAATTCATCTGTATAAACTGATTTTAAATTACCTGACCATAAATATTTATAACTAACATGATCATGGCTATCGCTTATATCTACATTAATAGGATTATCAAATTCAAGTACAAAATTGATTAAACAGTGGTCCGATAAAATATTCGGTTCTGAAACATCAAAACGTTTAACAGATTTTAAAAGATTTTGCGTACCAATAACATAATCAACTAAACTAGAGCCTCTATGGCCAACAAAAGTATATCGCCCCATTCCCTTATCACTGCCGACACGACCATTAAAAATGCGCAGACCTGTCTGTTTACAAAAGTCAAGTAACAAAATACCATTATTATTCGTGTGGCCTTTATCTTGTGAATGGCGTTCCATAACGGTATCAATCACATAATCATCTGGTAACATAGTCATGTATTTAAAATTATCGTCTGTTACATAATCTGGATTATCAGACGTGCGTGCATTCATGTCTCCACAAATCAATAGTTCAAAATCATTTACTAAGGTGGAATAAAGACTTGCAATATAATCTAACAATCTGTCAAAAACATTTGAATCTATCATCGATTGTCTGCTACTATCATCTGGTATTACATAGCATAAACATACAAACAAATCGTGCGTTAATGATAACTGAGAACCCTTAATTTTTATGATATTTACGTACAGTCTGTAAATGTTTGGACAATCCATAATTTTACGGATTTTCTTATCTGTAAATTTACAGACATTAAGTAAGAAAATAGTAGAAGTTGCTTTAAAATTTAAAACCGCAGGTTAAAATGAATAAGGTTAGGTATTATATGATTAAATGTAACAGTATGCTAAGATTCAGAACAGTTTGATGACTTTCAATTTTCACTTTTAACAAAAATTTCAAAATCATCATACAAAGATGAAACTCATCCCATTACCTTTGTAAATATAAACAATCAATAAAACAACTTGTCTTAAGCTGCGGATTTTATTGTAAAACTTAAAACAGCAAATTTCACATTGAATGTCTGTAAATTTATGGATTGAAAAATCTTTAAATTTCTAGACTGTCTATAAATTTACGGACAGTCCATAAATATCATGAAATCCTAGACCTGATGAGCTAGAACAAAAGTTTTTGTTTGAATAGCAATATTAAGTGGGAAATTGTTACTTCTCATTTCTATCAAAAATATTAAACGGCTTGTATTTTTAATCAATTATACATGTAGATCAATTGATATTAAAGTTAGCTTTAGGTAATGCTAAGGAAATAGAAGGAAATGTATCAGTGCTACATGTATACACTGGGCATGTAAAAGAACCAAGGGGTCTAGATTGTAATGAAACTCGATAAAATTGTATATAAATAGTAAGTAAATGATGCTTATCAGAATATAGTCAGAATCATGTGTTTTAAAGGTATAGTCCTTTTGTAAATTTATAATAGGCTTTTTTTAAAAGAACATTGTCATAATACTAATGTGCTAGGTTTTGATAGACCTGGGCACAAATGAGTACTTCATTAATCCAGTGAATGATCAATTAGGTCAAATTTCTTTAAGGTCTATGTGAGCTTTATTGAAATATAACTTAGGAGTAGAAGTGATTCTTCAAGAAAAAAATCTTTCTTGAGATGATTTTTAAGCTATTGTGTAAGTTTTTAAACAAAATTCACATGAATGTCTTAAATGACATCTGATAATCATCTGCAGGATTGTTGTTAATTTATGGTTCTTTAAATTGAACATATTAGAATGGACAGTTTATATAAGCTCAAGTTTACAACTTCTGTCTACTCTTAAATTACATATAGAACAATACATTTGTATATTTACAAAAACAACATTTTAGATTATAGGATCTTAAACAGATAGTGATTTTGTGAGAAAAGTGTTTGAGATTTGTTTTGTAGTTTAACTCTTGCAATTAATCTTTTTTTTAAATCATTTAAAATGACTTTTTGTTTCATAATTAAATTTTTATGCCCCCGGGCATATAGTAATTGAACCGTCCCTCCGTCTGTCCGTACGAGGTTAACCTAAAACGGCAAGTTTGATTTTTCTTAAGTTCTACCTGTACCAATGACTTCATAATTTACACACTTACTAATCCAAAGTATATGATCTGGGCAAGTTTCATAACTATGGCTTCCATTTGCACCAAGTTATGGCCCTTTTCAGCACTTAGAAAATGAATAATGGTTAACCTAAAACGGCAAGTTGGAAATATCTTATGTTCTATCTGAACTAATGGCTTAATAATTTTCACACTTACTTATCAATACAATGTACATGATATTGCCAAGTTATATAAATGTGCCACCCATTATCCCAGTAATTTCCCTTTTTATCACTTTGAAAATAGGGCCTTGTATGGTTAACCTATTCTGCCAAGTTGGATTGATCAAAAAATTTATTTATTTAATGATATTTTTCATATTTGGTAGGTGGATACCTTTAACGGTCCTTTAATTTTTTTGTGGCGTTAGGCGTCTCTAGGTCAAGGTCACTTGTGTAAAAAAATACATTTCTGCTCATGCAGCCTTTATTTTTAAGTTAATGTCTTTCATGTTTATAATAGTCATACCAAGGGAGGTCCTCTTCCTTTTCCTTTAGTAAGGGGTCATTTGGGTCAAGGTCACCAATGTCAAAAATAGATTTTTTACAATTTTACAGATGTATTAACCTTATTCTATTGACAGATGTCTTGTATATTTTGTAGGAACATAAAATTGAGGTATTCTCAATTGGATGGAGTTAGGGGTCAGTTGCATCAAGGTCAACAGTGCTAAAAATAGATTTTTTACACTTTGCCCAATTTTACAGCCATTATATATTTACAGATTTATTTCATATTTGGTAGGAAAATAAGTTGCATGATATTCTTGCTTTGGATGGAGTTAGGGGTCAGTTGGGTCAAGGTCACCAGTGCTAAACATAGATTTTTTACACTTTTGCCCATACAGCCTTTATATATATATGACAGATTTATTTCATATTTGGTAGGAAAATAACTTGCATGATATTCTTTCTTTTGATAAAGGTAGGGGTCAGTTGGTCAATGTCAAGGGTGCCAATTACAGATTTCTACACATGATTGGTTTTCTTCCATGCAAATAGTTACTTTACTCTCTAAAGTTAAATTATTGACAACAGTGAGCGCGGGGGCATTTGTGTTTATCAAACACAAATTCTTGTTTATTTATTCCAATATCTGTCTAACATTTTTTTCTTTTCAAAAGCAAAACAAAGGAAATCATCCATCCAAACAAATACCAGATGAATATAAAGTTAAATTTAGGTTAAATATATATATTTTTTCCATCTCTGTTAATTACAATATATCAATTGTTTTGTTGCTTCTAATAATTCTAATTATTAAAATATATAGAAAATGTTTGTTTTCCATATATTTCAGGCGAGGCATTAAATTGCTACCAGTGTGATTCAACGTTGGATCACAATTGCCAGGAATATTTCAACCATGACAATCCCAATGTTCCACTTAGAGCTACAGAATGCAAGATGTACAATGCTAAATTCTGTATCAAAGCTACTGGACTCTGGGGAGGTATTAATCTTATACATGTATTATCTTTATTTGCTAAATAATTTGCTTAAGTGTATAATACTTTAATTACAATTATGGTAAGTTTAATTATTTCCAACAAAATTATGAATATTAAATTGTACTGAAGATATAAAGATAATTTTCAATTAAAACATATTGGATATACATTATAAATCTGTTCTAGTTATCAACTTAGTGAAAAAATAGTAATTTTATTGTAGGGTCCATAATGATATTCAGCTAGAAAGCCTTTTGGACTATATTCCTGTGAAGGATATAAAATGATGAAAATATTCATTTATTCACCATTTTATTCTATCAATAAACTAGTTGATGCACTCATGATTATACTATCATAGCTGCATTTATAACTTGAAGATTTTACCAGTTTGTGTTTTAATACCCCCAAAAACGAAGTTTGGGGGGTATATACAGACCTGGGGTAATCAGTAACTGTAATCATTGATTTTTTAATTGATTACATGATTACACTGTAATCATCATGTAATTGATTACCTTGCCCAAAATTGATTACATTAATTGTAATTAATCAATTACAGCTTAAATTCAGTCAGTAATTATGATTACATTTTGATTGACATTGATTACTTTCAGATTCACTATTTAAATTCAAAGGTCTATGCCTTTATTTTACATTATACAGTTTAACTTTTGTTTTTTAGTTATACAGTAAAAGTCCTCAATTAAGACCACCATTTAGACTGAAACAAAGTGAATATTCTTATCATTGCTTACATACTTTAAGACCATGGTCTACTTTAGTCATTTTGTATGAATAAACAATATGTATATTTACATGTACCTACAAATACATTATAAAAGAAACTATCAAAGAATGCTTTGATATTTAATCTTATGAAAGGAAAACATATTTCTGGAGAAAATTAACATTCATTACACAGTATCACTTATTATATGATGTACATAAATCAATTGAAAATTTAATATTTCAAAAAATAAATGTGCTGAAAGCAACAATGTACCACTCTAAAATTGACCTTCTCACCTTATTTCATATAATAACCCAATAATAACAGTTTTTCACACCTTGTGAAATCAAGTGTCATGCTAAAGAGCATTCAAGCAGATCATAGTAACAAATTTAAGATCTAGATAGGCGTTGACTTTAATATCAGTGGTCTCAATAGTCACATTAAAATTAAAACAAAAATTTGGACTGAATAATTATGGTGGTCTGAAAAGTGAATAAGCAGGTGGTTAAATCTGTATCATGAAACCATTGACTTAAAGAATCTCGTTAAAATGGTTTTAATAGCGGGGTGGTTTTAATTCTGGGGCGGTCTAATGTACATTCAATGTAATCAATTATCAATCAATTACTCTCTTAAAGTAATTGTAATTCAATTGATTACAGTGGCAAATGTGAGTAATCAATCTTAATCAATTACTATAAAATCTGAAAGTAATTGTAATTTAATCAATTACTGATCAATGTAATCATCCCCAGGTCTGGGTATATAGAAGTCACCCGGTGGTCGGTCGGTTGGTCGGTCAGTCTAGCGGTCCGTTGCATTTACCTTGTCCGGAGCATAACTTAAAAATTAATGGTTGGAAGTCAATATAACTTCATACAATGGTCAAGCACATTGAGAGGAAGTGCAGTGCACAAGAACCATAATTCCATCTTGACTAATAACAGAGTAACTGCCCTTATTTACTTTTCCTTGTCCAGAGCATAACTTGAAAACTACTGGTTGGAATTTAAAACAACTGGTTGGAATTTAAAACAACTTCATACAATTGTCAAGCACAATAAGGGGAAGTGCAGTGCACAAGAACCATAACTCTATCTAAAGTAATTACAGAGTTATTGCCCTTTGTTACTTTTCCGTTGCTTTCTTTTGTCCGGACCATAACTTGAAGACTAATGGTTGGAATTCAATATAACATCATACAATGGTCAAGCACATTGAGAGGAAGTGCAGTGCACAATAACCATAACTTCATCTTGACTAATTACAGAGTTATTGCTCTTTGTTACTTTTCGAGCATAACTTGAAGACAAATGGTTGGAATTCAATATAATTTCATACAATGGTCAAGCACAGTTAGTGGAAGTGCAGTGCACAAGAACCATAACTCCATCTTGACTAATTACAGAGTTATCCCCCTTTGTTACTTTTCCTTGTCCGGACCATTTCTTGAAAACTACTGGTTGGAATTCAGTGCAACTTCATACAGTTGTCAAGCACATTAAGTGGAAGTGCAGTGCACAATAACCATAACACCATTTTGACAAATTACAGAGTTATTGCCCTTTGATACTTTTCCTTTTCCAGAGCATAACTTAAGACGTACTGGTTGGAATTCAAAAAAACTTCATACAATGATCAAGCACAATAAGAGAAAGTGCAGTGTACAAGAACTATAACTCTGTCCAGAGTAATTATAGAGTTATTGCCCTTTGTTACTTTTCCATTGCTTTTTTCTTGTCCAGAGCATAACTTGAAAACTACTAGTTGGAATTCAATACTATTTCATACAATAGTCAAGTATATTGAGAGGAAGCACAGTGTACAGAAATTATAACTCTTTCTGGACTCATTTAAAAGTTTTTGCCCTTTGTTACTTTTTATTATCCAGTGCATAACTTGAAAATTAATGGTTGAAATTCAATAAAACATTATACAATGGTCAAGGGCAGTGAGATGAAGTGCAGTGCACAAGAACCATAACTCTATTTGGACTAATTACAGTTATTGCCCTTTGTTACTTTTTTGTCCTGTGCATAACTTGAAAACTTGTAGTTGGAATTCAATACAACTTCATACAATGGTCAAGTGCAATGAGAGGAAGTGCAGTGTACAATAACCATAGCTCCATCTTCAATATTTATAGAGTTATTGCCCTTTGTTCCTTTTCCTTGTCTTTCTGGACTTATTGCAGAGTAATTCAATAAAACTTCATCAATGGCCAACCACATTGAAAGGAAATGCAACATACGAGAACCACAACTATCTTAATTGCCCACAACCATAACTGTATTTCAATTGTTTTACAAGGTATTCTGTTACTAGAAACATCCACATTTCGGAAGCAGTCTTGCGGGGGTATTAATCACATTTAGTGATAGTTCTAGTTTAAATTTGTTAAGGGTGGTTATAATTTTCATAAGTATTTACTGTGTGAATGATATTTTGTGTGATGATTAGTTGTCTTCTGTTTATATCAGGTATTGTAGGAACACATAGATTCTGTAGTTCTCGTGACCTTGGAGACCAATGCCAGGACATGAGGTTCCCTGACCACAGTCGTAAATATCGTGGCTGCATTTATACATGTACTGGTGATGGTTGCAACTCAGCTCATGGAATTAACTTTTCATTCACTGTGATGGCTTTGAGTTTGTTGTCAGTTGTTGTTGCCATAGTGATGAGGAGATGAAGGGGACAATGAAAATGAAAATAAAGGATAAATGTCATGACTGTATGAAATAAGGTTATGTGTGTGTACAGACTGTAACCTATGCAATGGTGAATGAATTTGCAATTAAAACAGCTAGCAAGTGGGCAAATGTTCTTCTTGTATATATAAATGTTTAAGTTTGTGATAACACATGTAATGTGTTCTGCTGAAGAGCATTCTGGCATTCCTCACTGTATAAGACATTACAAATGTAGCTAATTGTCATTTCAAAGTAATTTTTCTTTGGCATACAAAATGTTTCCTATACTGTTACAGTTTTATGGAGTTATTTGGGCTACTCTTATAGCTGATATTTTGTATCATATTTCCATTGGAAAAGTTCACAAACAAAATTCCAAACATTAAATTGAAATTTTAAAAAAAATGAAATTTAAAAATTCATTTTTATTATTAAGTAATACTGGGTGTAATAGGTAAATTGAAAAGAAAAAGTCATGGTTTAGGCATACATGGTTATATACATGCTCAAGATAGAGGAGATGAGAATAATTTAGTCTAATCATTTTTGTAATTTTATTTTTCCCCTTTTTCTAGCAAAACACTACAATAACTCCTAAGCTCAAGGGTATAGGACATATAACCAAAATACTGGTATTAAAAGTCATTGTTATTATTTATTTATATTTCATGAGTTTGGAACAGTCCATTCAAAGTTTCAAGAGTTTTTAAAGAGTGTTCAATATCAAAGCTACCAATAGAATAGAGCATTACATTAATTAGATTCTATGGATGTGCCTGGCTCGTTGTACTGGCGCTAAAGACTAATTACTTTTGATTCAAGTAGGTGAAGGATTAATATAAAACAGATGATATTGACACTGTTATTCCTAATTTCTGTGATTTCTTCAACTTCAAAAACGTTGGTGACATTAACTCAAGTAGTTGTATGCATGACAGGATTTTCATTTTTTGTACATTGTATAATAGATATGTATATATACATGTAAACTATAAACATTCCTTTTGTAAATATCCTATAACAGATTGAATAATATTTTTGTACTTAGATTTTATAAGGTACCTCTTTATGTATATGTATATATATTTGTAGTCATCAAATCATTCTCCAATCTGTATATACAGTTACATATAGTGTACATCATATCATTTTCATTCAACTAAGAAGTGTCTGTAAATCACATGATAATCTCTGTAAATTGGATCTGGTTTTGACTACATGTATTTCAACTAATCAATGAATAAATTAATTAATTGATTAATACAGCAATAATGATTTCTCTATGGCATCAGTATATAAAGTCATACCAGCCTGTATATAATAACACACATTCTGACAACACTTATTGTTGTTCATAGCTGTTGATACTTGAATTTAGCTGTCAAAGTCTATGCTTTGTAAGATACAACTTCATCACAGAGACAAGCCCAGTGGTTATGTTCAGTGTTGTTCAGATTAAACAAAATTATATTTTGGTTGTACAATATACATGTCACTTTACATGCCTCCGAACACAAGTGTTTTATAGGTAGTAATATTTATATGTACACTGTTAGCTAGAATAAGTTGGCACAAAAGAACTATCATAATATTTTTTTAAACAATAATTATTGTGATTATGAAAATAAAACAATTCTGACATGTTTGGTTTAAACATATTTATTTCATCAAGTTACAATACAATTACAGCATATAGAAAAATTTATACAAAATCATGATAAAGTGAATTGAACTGAAAGCTAAAAGCTGTTTTCTCATGGTTACTATTCTGCATATGTAAATAAACTTATTCTGACATTTTTCATCTTTTTATATTAGACATTTCATATTAATTCATGTATAGTCATTTTTTTACTTGATTTTTGTGTATTCATTCTATATCATACAGTGTACAAGTGCTAAAGCCTTTATTATTTCATTTTGAAAATGTCTCAGAAAAGACATTCTTTTCTTTTTTAAAGAAGAATATTAAAACTCTTTGATATCTTATAATGTAGCTGTAAAATTTCCATTAGTTCAAACATTTATCTGAATCAGAATATTATGTTGTAATGCTTTATTCCTACTTAGGAAAAAAGATGTATTTTAATTATGAAGATTGACATAAAAAAAACCAGGAAAGAATTGAAATTTTCACTTGTAAGCCACTATAAGGTTCGTACTTGAAGAATGAAATCAATGAATTTATATTTATAATTAGCTATTTAAGCATTTTTACATTAATACATATCATAAACACAAATAAATGATTTATATAAAGACTTAGTTGTTTTTGTTGTTCTTATTTAGTAGTCTTGTTAAAGGGAAGCAATTACTGCTCGCTTTTGATCATGTCTAAAAACATTTCTGCAAGAGAATACTTGTTTGTATTAGATTAGGAAGTGGTGAATTTTGTATTTTATAACTTACAGTGTCAAAATTGAGTTATCTCCCTTTATACCCTAGTGAAAGAGGTTATCTAGGAACGCAATGTGTATTCATTATAATTATTATGTGCTTTTCATTAGCTCGACTATTCAATGATAGGTAGAGTTATTGTAACATCAGTTCAGCGTCACACTGGTTACGTTTTTGCATGCAAGTTGATATCTCCAAATCTACTGAACTTCACACTTGTTCTCTGTGAATATCTAAAATGAAGGGCACATTTCCCATAACATTAGATACATTTTTCAGAGTTATGCACCTTTTTTCTTACTGTACAGCTCTTGTCGTATTGGAAGGTCAAACATTCTGTTGAACTTGTTTCTGTTTCATAGTCGTAGAGAAAACTTTTAACAGAGAGAACTTTTTTTCCTCAAAAATAAAACAAATTTAAGCAACGTAACTTTTAAAGGTGGTAAAGACCATCACGAATAAATACATGTTTAACTCCCATTTCCAACCGAATTAGGCAATAGCCCTAACTGGAATAACAACCAAGTAACGATCGGTATTTTAAACCTCATTTTGTTCCTTTTCTTTTTTTAAAAAAAGACGATGTAGCTGTCTTTCAAACATGACATTTGTTTTTAAATGCCAACATTTACAGAAATTCAGTTTGCTTTGATGTTGTGAAACATTTGCTACAAAGATAAATCTAGCGTCTATCATTGTGAACAGCAAAATGTGAATTTAATTAGATAGTTTATATAAACAATTCCTATAATTTTCTGGCGCTGGATGTTGGTAAATTTTGTATTACTGCTATGTCTGTACAAGTAACTTTCAACCTGAATTAGTAAACTTGAAATTTAATTACTATATGAACTGACACATGTTTCTATTTTTAGATAAAAACATATTTTGTATTGATTTGGTCTAGAGGATTTGACATTGTTTGTCCAGGTTTGGCAGTTACAACGGTTTCTTATGATTATAGTTTAGTCTGGGGTCACATGTCAGCCCCAGCGTCAAACTAAGGTTTATTTTTACTGACCTTATTTTTTGCTGCCCCCATAGATGTATCGGTACAAAACGTATATATCGGGAAGGGGGGGTGTTCCATCTGAAGCATTTAAATCAGCAAAATTGTGTAAGACTCGCACTAAGTCACATTAGGGATATAGGTAAGGATACATAAGTTTATCATGGATTTACCTATCTAGAATTTCTGTTATGGTTTTCCCATTTCACTCAAAATTAATGTTTTAAAAATTGGATTATTATTATTAGAGCTATTATTCATAATCAGAATTCTTGTGTGTATGATTTCGTTATAGTGATATTTAATATTTCTCATACTTAGACTGAACGCTTCTGATATATAAAACAGGATACTTCCGTCTCACAAATTCAACATGCCAATGATTAAATAATTCCATAATGGCGATATTTGATGGCCAATATTCTAATATGCATGGTATCCAAAGTATTTTAATACATAATGCATTTTCATTGTTTATTCAACAAAAGAGATATTATAATATATATCTTCAAAAGTAGCATATTCATGTTCACTTTATGTTCAGAAGATAATATGTTAAAGGCTGTTTTAATTCATTGTATATATTATATCTAATAAAATTTTACTCAGGAATGTCGGCGTGAGCGTCCAGGAATGTAAGATTGTTATGTTCCTTTAGAAAGCAAGCCGTTTATGTTTTCTTCATTTTGGAAAACGTTATGCGCATTTAGAGTTCCGTGAATATATTCCACATTCCCTGACAAGACACAAAATAATATTAATACTAAATTCTATAAAAAGTGGGTAATTTCCTTCCATCAGGAAGATTAGGAGCACGCGTTACATGCATTTCATAGTAATTTCGTGAAAATAATGTCAGAAAGTAATGGCCGCAATGAAATGCTCATATAGGATAATGGTGAAATTACTAGTTATGAGATATTATATTGTAAATTATTCTCCAGCTTTATGTCAATAAGATTGTTTTTTAATACTTTTCTGACAAGTGTCAGCTCCGGTTCTGGAATTTTCTAATTAGAATAAGAGATAAATATAATGTTTATTTTTTTGTCGTCCAGCAAAAATAATGAAACGGCAGCAGACGAATTTCATTCACATTTATTTTCAACATGATTTAAACCATCCGAGTTTTATTTCATATTTTATCAAACGGAATCTTCTGTAAAGTGTTACATAAAAATAAATTACGCGTAAATTTCAGTTGCATGGATTTATTATATATAATATAACTAATTACCACACAATCAATGCTAGCGATTTGGAGTTGGTACAATTCTTCCGTAATTATATTTTTTACTGTTTGCTTGGATAAAAGGAATAAATTCAGGGAATGTAATTCATACAAAATAGCATGTATTTCTAAAGTTAGACGTCTTTATACATGTTCCACATTTGGCGTGTCTGTTGATGAGTTTAAAGAAGGATAAATTCAATCTGTACAAAAACTGAACTTTTTTTACAAGAAAGTATGCGTTCATTTATAAACTATTCACAAAAACATGAAATACGGGGCCATAAACTCTAGATTTGCAGACGTTAATTTGAAACCAAAGAACTTATGGGGCAAGCTATGAAGCGACGGCGTATACCTATTACAGCTGATAGTATAATTTGTAATATTATTCACAACATGTTTTTGTCAAAACCGTCTATCAAATTTCATCTTATTTATTATCCATGTAATGTAAAATAAAAATCTTTAAAGAAAAAATCTATTTAAACAGACGAGATATCTCATCCATTCTCCCATTCATGAAAGAAGGATACGGTAGCGTTCTTCACATTCGGTGTTCGTCTGCTGTTTTCGAGTATCAGTTGGCGCATTAGTATAAGTGGAGTAAAGCGGTGTTTTTTTTACTTTTGGATATATGATGATGATTTCAACAAAGATGCGGTAAAAAGAATATGTAAAAATGTGAGAGATACGGAATAAAGTGGAATTACTGGATTATGTATATGTTGTGATTTGATATAAAATTCTTCTTGGAAATAATTATATTATCACTTATTCAAGGGATAAAAGAAATAATTATAATAATGGACGAAAAAACTGCGTCTACAACTCGACTGGACACACGGTTGAAGGGCTCGAAACAAAGTAGCCCATGTTTGAAATTTGTATCTTACTTTGCAGCATGTGTTGTTTTAGTAGTGTTTGCTCTTGTGATGGCGGTGACAGTGTGGACGCTGGTGTCACATAATCAGACGGTGACTTTGTTACAGGAGCGTTTACAACATTTAGAAACAGAAGTAGAAAATAGTAAAAATAATATTGATCAAATTGTAGAAGAAAAAGTAAAAACTATATTTAAGGAGGTAAGATAGTTTGTCCATCTGATATTAGTGTTTTATCCATACCCTTTCATAATGGACGTGTTCATTTTGTATCTTAGGAACTATCCATTTATCAAAGATGAAAATTTTATTGAGTTTAACAGTATACATATATAGCCTAGTCGGATTGTACGGATGTGCAAGTTGGCCGGGCTCTATATATTGGTCGCAAAGGTTAATCTCTTTTGATGCCTGCAGAATAAAAGTTTACCTTTTTTATCAGAGCATTTTAGAGGAAAAGTATAAATATTTTGATGAAAATGAAAATCTTTAGGATGTACACGTTGTCTTTTTATTCTATTGTTATTTAAACATGATTTAAGACTGATACCAGGATACCAAGAAAATATTACGCATATTCAGATTATTTTATATACATAAAGTAAACTATGTAAAATGATTTACATTCACAATCAATGAGACAAATATATTGGCCGTTCTGTTATACATATTTTCATTATAACATTCAGTAAAAGATGATTTTAACCTGTTCGTTTTTCCTTTCTTTTGAATATTCTCAAATACTAAGATTTTGTTATAACTATAATTGTTTTCTTGAGAACACGAGAAAAGTTGTTTTTTACTTAAAATGAGAACAAATCAAAATAATACGTACAAGGATTCACCTAAATTTATACCTAAATGGACATTTTTAGTACCGTTTATAACGACAAACTAATTTTTATCACCCATTATTTTTGAATTAAGCTTCACTAGACTTAATTGCAACCACCTTGCGAGCGCCATTCTCCCCCATTTTTGACAAAGGTCCGAGCTATGATATATGTAGGATAAAATTGAAATGGACCCATAGATAAAATAATGTTCTGCTTTGTTAAATCCGCTCAAAGCACCATTATAATTAGATATGCTATGTCAGGTTACTATGCTACTGTAATTGAAGTAAGAAGTGAAGAGACAGCCTGGGCCGAGATGATATACTATACCGATGATAAACACTGCGCAGTTTGTAATTTGTTTACAGTTTTTATCAAATCCGGCGTTTATAAAATTCAAGCAGTAAATAGTTTTGCTAAAATATGAAGAAAAAAATATATAAAAAATATAGTCTATCACTTTAATCTATCATCTAACACCTATCTATACAATGTCTATATGTATGTACATTTTTGTGAGGTTATTTTATCATCTCACATATAGATGCGACTTGAAAACACATGCGTGCAGATTAATTTCGTATGCTAAAATTATAATATTTTATTAATTAACCTGTTTGTTGAGCTTTTTTGTGGAACAATATTTTCTTGACTCTAAAAAAAACTTTTTTTAAACAGTAAATGTAAAAGTCTTAATAATCAAAACGTCATGTACATTTTTGAATAACAATCTTTCGGCTTCTGTTCATCACAAATATATTTATATCCCCAATTTATGCCGTGATGAAAACGTTGGTTGAATCAAAACAGTTTTAATACGAGTAATTTTAGCCACATGCGAAAGAGCTATCAGCAAATTAGGCAAAATGAAGGCAATTTACCGAAAAAGATGAGAGAATAAATAACTGATCAAGTGCGATAGGAAACACAAGCAGAAATTCACATTATCAAAACTAGTGCAAAATTAATAGCTTTATTTCATTCAACTTTTTTGTCTATCAGTTGTACCATAAATTGGTACAGATATAATTTATGCTGATTGTCAAAGAAATGTTTATTTTAATAGTTGTACACGATTATCATATGATCTCATTCTTATCTGAAGTTGAGCAATCATTTTGCTGAAAATTTCGTCTGATAAACTGTAAAATAGATATGTTATGTAACAGTATTTTAATGTTTCTACTATCAGAGATTCCAGGCTTTAGAAGATTCATTACGGCGGAATGATCCAAAACGGGTTAAAAGGCAACAGTCATGTAACTGTCCATCAGGTAAGACAGTAGAAGTTTACTTTTATGACTTTCCTAACATTAATATATATACACCCCTAAAAACAACTAATTTATCGTTATGTTTTGATGAGAAATACTGTTGTATATTGTCTTAGTTTGATATAAGTATGTGTTTTGATTATGATAATTTCTAGCATACACCAAATTTATCATGATAACGTCTTGTATACGTACATTTTAACATGTTAAAGTATAGAATGTGTACTTTTTATCATGATAACGTCTCGTATCCGTAAAAATTAACATGATTACTTCTTGCATACGTACATATTATCATGATAATGTCTTGTATATTTACATTTTATCATGATAATGTCTTGTATACGTACATTTTATCATGGTAATGTCTTATATATACGTATATTTTATAATGATAATGTCTTGTATATTTATATTTTATCATGATAATGTCTTGTATATTTACTTTTTAACATGATAATTTCTTGCATATGTACATTTTATCATGATTATGTCTTGTATACGTACATTTTATTATGATAATGTCTTGTATACGTACATTTTGAAATTGTTATTACCTACAAGAACCTTTTATTATGACAATTTTGTCAGATAAAAGTACATTTTATTATGATAATGTTTGGTATTTATAACTTTTATCATGATAACGTCTTGCATACGTACATTTTATCATGATAATGTATAGAATTCGTACATTTAGACATTATTCATCATGATAATGTCTTGTGTAAGTACATTTTTATCATGATAATGTTTTGTATCTGAACATTTCTTTATAATAATTTCTAGTATTCGTACCTTTGAACATGCTAAAGCCTGATACATGCACATTTATCTGATAATATGAGGTTATAATATGAGGTTATAAATTGTTGAGAATATTACGGAATTCTGATCAACAAAACAATATTTTATCAGAACTTATCAGTCTTCATCCTCTTATATTGCAATAATGTAGAACTTATACTTGATGTAGATATGTAGAATAAGTTCCATTTTTTTGTTATATCAGTTTATAACATTTTAGCGTAATTAAATTGTAAATGAGCAAGGACAAATAGTAAAACAATTTGTTGAAACTGAAAAAAAACTCGCAAGATTTATAGTTTTCAATGGTCTCAGTTGTTCGCATTGTTTTAAATAAAACACACCGAATAAAAGTACTAAGTAATATACAGTTTCAATGCATTATGGCATAAAACAAACAGTTGCAGAATTAAGTCATTTACAAGAAAATTAAGTAGATTCTCTATTTAAAATAACGTTTTATATTTAATTTAAACCTTGCTTTCGGGAAAGCGAAAAAAAGTTATTCTTTAAAACAATAAATTCTGTTAAATATTTGAAGGAATTTTATGTGGATTAATGACATTTTAGACAAAAGCAATAAGCGAATGTAGCGTTCCTAACTTTTTTTTATCTTTCTTTCTTAACCTTTTGCCAGTGCTGGCAGTGATACTTTTCTTTACCAAGGGCACGTGTTTGACGTGATCTGTAAATTTGTTAAAGATGATTGTTTTATGGAACGAACTGAAGAAAATCATTAGTCCGATTTTAACCAGACAAAATGTTTATATTCTGGTACAAGCTGAGGTCAGATATTTATTTAGCTCGTTATTTTCAAATACCAGAGATAGGGAAGTCCTTAGGCTTTTAATGGGCTTATAATATATGGACTTGAGTGCAAGCCGTGTCTGTCGGACCATTGAACCTTCCCACGTGTCCTTAATGACCCCTCAACAATACGCCCTTAACTCAATTACTTAGAATTTATGTCTTTTAGAACTATTTCAGACATTAGACATTTCCGTTTTCATATACATGTACACACATTTTTTTCAACATATCAAGTTCAAACCCATATATTAAAGCTCACATGTCTCTGAAAATAACGAGACAGTTGCGCGTCTGCCACTTTTAAATGGTTCTTTTATTTAATCGATTGCACATATTTCCCTTATCTAATATAGTTTTATTTTTTTGACCATTTATGATTTAAAAATTAATTTTGTATAAATACGTACAGATAAGAATATTGCTCTGTTTTTATTTTTATGAAGATTTTATTTCCAAGTTGATATAATTTAAAGTCTCTTATAAATCATAATGATTGGTTATACAGTTTTATTAAGGCGATATTGTTTCTCTTTGTCGTCATTTCCAATTTCACAGGCCTAATAACTCCAATATTCATGCATACGCATAACAATGTAGTTCGATGCCATTTAGGTAAATCAGGACAATTCTACCTTTGCATTTCTTTTAAATGATATATGTTCAAATTTAAATGTCATTATCTACATGGTAAATATTTTCAAAATCTATACTATGACAAACAAGTTAAAAAATAAAAATAAAACAATAGTATAAGTGCTAGTCTCTGAACAAAAAAAAAGAGTAGGTAGGTGGCATTTTCCTTTTCAGTTTCAACTTTCTCTCCTTTCTCATTATGTCAGACTTCTTTACAATATTTTCTGTCTGCTTCTATTTTGAATAAAGATAGCATTTGTATTATTCATACCAGTGATCTTATTTGTTAGTGAAAGGTTACCATGCAATGGGAAATCACAGTTTGAACCTGTATAAACATTATGATAAAACACGTCAAATACATCTTACACTGACAGTTTTTGAAGGGAGAACAAAAAAAATCGCCCCTAGATTTTGGCATCAGATCACTCCATTGTTTCAGCATTTCAATATGTTACTTGCATTGTTAAGACTGAGGTAGAAAAATGTTGTGCTAGAACCGACAGGGAAAATCGAATCTTGGCACGCGACCTGTGAAACTAATACATATAATAAAGGCTTAATGTGTATTGTTTCATGGCGCACAATGTAAACTATTAGTAATTTACTTGCAAAATGGTTAATGGAAAAGCTTTCTGTGTCCGCACCCTAACTTACGTTTTTGTGAGTGCAAACTATTATATGACCGAACATAGTTTCTCCTTCTAAAGGTCCGTTCATTGTCAAAGCAATTTGTTTATAAATTAACTCTAATTCTTCATTTTCCATTCATGATTTTGAGGTACATTCTGAAATATGAGTGTCCTTCATTCAACTTTGCCTTTAAATTATACAGCGCATTAAATCTATTTCATATGTGCACTTAAGTACTCTTTGTTCATAAATCGGAAGTATCCCGGCTCCATGGCATGTTTCAAGAAATCATTAATGACGGTACTGATATTTTTGCAAGCCATCACACATCTTTGCAATTGCTGAATGAAACGAGACGAAAAGATAAGTTGAAACCAATTTGTACAATTTATGTGCTTAAGATAGTCAGTAGATGTTGATATTTGTATTGACATTAAGTTAATCGCTAGATAAGCAGTGAAAGATTGTTTTTACTTCAAGCAATTACAATAAACTGGATAAGACGAGCATGAAATGGCTATAAAATACGATGGTATGTAGCTGCTGATTTGCCAGAAACGATTGTTACCAGTGGATACGATCATTTAAATCGATGGCTTATTATCTTTATAAGAAATAATTGTGCGGTTAAAGTTAAATTATAGCCACTTAAAGATGGGAATAAATGAGATCACATACAGTTTATACCAACCACAGTAATTTCTCCCCCGATGAGAAAAAGTGGCAGAAGAATCTAGGGTCATATTAAAAAGCTAACACAGACTCAATATATTGCTGGTAAATTAAAGCTAGGTTATACATGTAATATGATCTTCGGATAGTCTTCACACTTTATTACGTAAGTCAATGCGAACATAATGTTTATTAAATACAACATACAGGATGATAGATACATCACCAGCACAATAACGCAAACGGAGATAATTAAGAAAAAATACAGTACGAACATAATGACTAAAGTATACGAACATAATGATAAAAGTATAACAAGAGTAAGCTTTTAGTAACTGTTTACTTATGAGGACATAGACCAACATCACGCAAATATAACTGCAAAACGTTTTATAGTTTTTATTAAACTTTTATACAATGTAGTTTGTTTTACAAAATATGAAAAAAAAATCTATAAAAAACATTACTTTTTGGTAAGTAAAACAGTTTCTTTGTGCTTCAGAGCTTTCCTCAAGAACCAAGTTGAACGAAAACCTACTGTACCATGATAGTTGTTATTTGTATCACAATTGCTATATAATCATTATTGTTTAATTAAGAATATACATTACAATTCGTAGTCAAACTGTCCTTTAACACATCGTCAGCATAACAAATGACCTCAAATGACCTTATGCCGTATATCACGTGCTAATTGGAACTCCTTGGAATAATTGAAATAATATGTAGATATTTTTCGGCGCATTTTCTTGGATTAGGCTAATAATCTTACGAATTTGCTACAAGAAAAACCTAGCAGCAAACTATTCCGGTTCATTATCTTGCCTTAGATAAGATTTACCCCCTCTTTCCTGGTGAAAAGTACTGAAATTGTTTGTAGACTTACGTCATGTGATAATAAAAAAAAATATACACCAAATCTTATATAAAAATGTTTCTATTTTTTATATCTAGCAAAGAAATAGCAATATACTGAACTTACATACCAAGAGTCAAGTAAAAGCAACTATCAGTTTAATTATAATTAACTTGTACAGAAATTAAAGGCCAGTCTTCTGCGTCGTACTTTCTCTTATTGTAACCCTTAACCATGTAATACATTATGAATTGATTTTCTCAGCTTTGAAATTGGAACTGTCCATTTAAAGCTTAAATGTTCATTTTACTCCGGAAATGCTTTCATTTTTATTTCTTAAAAGAAAGTTTATATATTTGGTGTCCACTTAAAGTTTCTAAAAAGTTACTCATTGGCTAATTACCTGAACGATCTCGTGCTTCTGTTGCCTTTTGGCAATTGCTACGGTGGTTTGTATGGCAGTCAAAATACAATTTTGTTTACGTATTACAAATAATTTCACATCAGGTGAGAAACATGTAAAATGCTCTAAACATTATAAAACTCATATTTGCCCTATCTAAAGTCCTTTCTTGGAAATTATATGCCT